CATACAGTAAAAATTAAGTACAGCTGGTTATCTATTTGACTCACAAATACATGCTAACTCCTCAGTATGTTACCATTGTCATTGTGAACATTCTTCATGCTCAAACTAATTTACCTCAAAGCACTTCTGTGCCTAAGTATAGCCTCAAAGGCATGCACTTGGTTCTTGTAAGACATTGAATGTTTTTGTCATATTCCTGTTCTGCTCATGCTAGCATGGCACAGTATGAGTCACAATTTGATGTCAGGAACGCCTCACCGACACCAACTGACTCATTAGACTGTCAAAACAACAGCTGAGAAGAGTTTACACACCTCAGCCTCAGGGCATGTTACTGCACACACACCACACCACGATTAACATAATGTTGAGTCTGGGTTTGTGTGTTTGCATACGGGAGGCAATGTGTCACGTGCACTTATTTGTATCGAAGCAGATGAATTTGTTGCTATGTTTGGGTAGCATTTGAGAGGCAAAGAGGTACTTGAGGAGAGCTACGGAGTTAAAGACACTAAAGGGGGCAACAACAAAAAAGATTGTGTGCTTTATGTCCAGAGGGCTTAAAATGTTTGGGGTGGGAGGATGTGTGGGAGGAGGGACAGTGACCGAGAGAGGAGGGTTTAAGTTTCAGGTTACCTGAAATACTTTTGTTTTGTCAGCAAGGCTTGGTCATTCAAATACAGCTCTCTCTGAATTTGCGTAGCATAAAAAAACAAAACTCTATACAACCAGTATCTTGTATTACTGCCGTGGGGTTTCAAAGAGGGGCAAGTCAGGCACCCTTCAAAATACCAAATCAAACCAGGTTTTGTAGTTTAAGCAAGTGGAGCAGGAGGGTGAGAGGAAGAAGACGAAGGACATCCAGGGGACAGTGAGTTACTGGAGAGTCCCACCTCCAGGGAGGGTCGTGTTAACTCTGTGCTTCGTGTTGGATGAGGTGCTTCTAGGCCTTACCAAAGAAGACGCTACAACATGTGGGTGAGTGCAACTTGGTAGAATCAACGTTTTCATTGTAAAGATGGAAGATCAGCTCGCTGCTTTGCATTGGGGGCGCAATTCAATTATTGTTACCGTTGCATATCCTGGTCTCAAGTTTGCCATCATACTGAGATACAAAGACATGTTGTGATACTAAAGGTAGTCTGTGTTTGCTTACTGAACCAGTTTCTGTAGCACTGGCTCAAACAGCAGCAATGTTTTTGCATGTCAGCAATACTATCTGCCACTAAACAGGAGAACAATCAGCACTTACAGTTGGCTGTAGTTGATATGTTAAGCATATGCTGTCTTTTGCTTTATATATGGCTTCTTATCACTGACATGTTATCAGTGGTAGTTCCTGGTGGCTATGGAACATGTTTCCTAATATTGATACGGCTCATTGTATGTATTTATGCTATTTTTAGTTCATTTTAATTGTAAATCAAACAACACAACATTTCTGCAGAATCTGTACTCCCTACCCACCTCGGTATAAGAATGAGCAATGTGTGTGGAGTTAGTTGTGGGTTAGTGAGTAGAGCCTACTCAAAGCGATCTATAGTGTGCATTTCTGCCCTTATAAAAGGTACATGGCCAAGATATCCAAACATGTATGGACTGCACTGGTCTAGATCTTTGTCTTTTATTAAAGCTTTTCTAGCATGTCACGCGTAGCTTCTCAAAAAGGCCTTTTGTGAACATTTCTGTTGGAGGAACAATACATAATCCAACAAAGAAGCAAGGGGAACACCTCGTTTGAACAAAAGGCTTTTACCTGTCAGGACTGACCCAGTTATACTTTTTTCAGGTTTGGTTCCTAACGCCGGGTTTACTGGCTATGGGTTAACCTGACAAACAAAAACAAAATCAGGCTTATCACATTAGCTCGTATAGAGCTGCTCGATTATGGCAAAAATCATAATCTCGATTATTTGAGTCAATAATTGATATCACGATTATCCATTTACATTGAAAACATCCATTTATTGAAAAAAAAAATGTGAACAGTATGTTTTTAACAGTTGATTACCCTGAACTTTAAGTATAATTCAACTGAAAAACCAATACAAAATAAATAAATAAATAATCGTTTTATTTCGATTATGTTGTTTTCATAATCGTTGCAAGCCAAAATCCTAATTGCGATTAAAATACGATTAATTGAGCAGCCCTAAACTCGTACTGCAGAAGTAAGAAACATGAGATGTGGTAGTGCTTCACTAACTGATTATTTGAAGATATTACCGTCATCATAACATGGTAAATGTTAGTCATGGTACAAAAGACAACTTCCCAGAAGTCACTATTAATTATGTCATGGTGTGACAAAACAGAACTTGTTTTTTCTGGTATGTGTTTGTCCACTCTCGGTAAGATTACTTTATTTCTGGTTTTACAAGTACGCAGACCTCCCACTTTTTTTGTATGTGTCATTTATCTCGCCTTCATCTCGAACAATTTGTTTATGTAGAACGATTGTTGTGGTGCTATTGTGCATGTTTTTCAACTAAGATATGTTTAGGCTCCTGAACTGTACTGTATGGCATGTATTGTAAGGTGAAAACTGCACTTAACTTACAAAAGGAGTCTTTAACCTATTGGGAATTTGAAAAGAGATGGTATCTGAGAATCACTTTACAACCCTTTACATAAAGTGAAATGTATATTGTTACAGACAAATATATGAAACACAACCTTTTTTTCTTTACTATAAGTGAGTTTAGTATGTTAGATAATAAAGTGCTGCAAGTTAAACATGTTCTTGTTTCCAGAGAGTGATAAGATGCCAAAAAAAAGTAAAGAAAAAAGTGTCTGGGTCTTTGTCATGCAGCTTTCCTGCTATGAAACCACATAATTTGAATTACTGTCTTATACGAGAGTGTCTCAGGAAGTTTCTCAGCCAAACTGTTCAAGCCAGCACAGCTGATTAAAGTAAGCTGCCCTCCAAAAATATCTAAAAAACCTGCCCAACGACATTCTTAGCCCATGTCTTATGGTGGCTATACAATACCATAGCTTGATTGTCATCCGACATCATCTGAATTGACTGTGGATGTGAAACAGTTATTTGTTATTGTTGGGGAATATTTTCCAAGGCCCATAACTTTGACCCAGTTTATCAGTTCAAACTGTCCTGACTGAGCACAAGCACCTCATAACCTTGGCTGCTGTGCTCTCAGTGTTCTGTCTCCCTGTTCCTGCCTGTTGGCGTCAGCTGATAGAGGTGTTATGATTATATGTTCCTGCCCAGTGGCGTAACTATCGACGGTGCAGCCGGTGCAACGCACCGGGGCCCCGAGCCGGCAAGGGGCCCATTCAAAACAAAAACAAAAAAAAGAAGAAAAGTTTTTTGTTTTTTTTAATATTCTTTTTTTTATTTTTTTTTATTTGGGGGCCCCAATGGCATTGACCGGTTCACGCTGTCTTCAAAGTAACCAAGCAACCTAAATTAAATTGTAATTTGTCTGTCCAAAGACCCTGCTCCCTTTCATGTCATGTGATACCTTGCGTGACGAGCGAACCGTTTAATCAACCTGTACTGTACTGTAGCATTATAAAAAATGTAATAGCTTGCATCTATAATGTACAGCAAACCAAAGCACAAGAGCAGCGCTCAAAAGAGAAAGGACAAGAGAGAACAAGGAGATGTAACAGCTAAACTGACAAAATTAGACCGTCATACATCGTCCTCGAAATCGAGCGCTAACGTTAGCAATGTTGACGTGCAGCGGCAGCCGGAGCTGGAGGCTAACGATAGCTCACCAACATCATTGCTATCTAGCTCCATAAGTCCATAAGGTTGCACAGCCACGGCCACGCATACAGCTTGTATCCGTGGCCGTGGCTGTGCAACCTTCTTCTCCAGCCAGCCAGGAGGAGAGGCTGGATTTGGCTGTGCCCGGTGGTGGTCCTACAGTTCCCCCAAGGGCCCCACCCGATAGGGGACTCTATGTCGCTATTGAGACCTCCGACGCCAAGATCAAAAGCTATATTATAGCAATCGGTCTATGTAGGCCTACCGGCCCATTCATAACATCAAGGAAACAGGTGTAATCCTCTTCTTAGGCAAGGCAAGGCAAGGCAAGTTTATTTATATAGCACTTTTCAACACAAGGCAATTCAAAGTGCTTTACAAAAAATGAAAGATATTAAGAAAAGGGCATTTAAAATCAGTCATTAAAAAGAAAAGCTAACAAAATAAACATTAAAAGAAAAAATACATGGATAAAAGTTACAGTGCAGTTTAAGATATGAATAGTTCAATTAAAAGCAGCGACAAAAAGTTCTTAGTTCGCTGTGCCGTTGTCAGGCTGTGGTGGTCTGAGGCCAGGGCAGGCTGGTGTTGATTGCCTATACATGTTGCGCTTCTGAGTGGTTGTGTATGTCCGTGTGTGTGTGAGCGCATCAGCGTGCGCTTATGTTTGGGGCGATGGGGGGGGGGGGCCAAAACAATATTTGCACCGGGGCCAATCACAACCTTGTTACGCCACTGTTCCTGCCTGTTGACGTCAGCTGATAGAGCACACAGCTCTGTGTACAGATCAGTTCGATAAAGTCATGCCTAAACAGCGACATTTTACACGATAAATACGGGTTTAAATAGCAGCATTTACCACGGAAGGCGAGTGGCAGCTACCGTAAACCTTCTTTTACTCTGGCATCTTGTGGCAACTCCCGTTGAGCAGCGGCAGATGCCTCGGCAAGTTGTGGCATCGGTGGCATATGCCGGAAGTACTTGCCACAGATGCCACAGAGTAGTGGCATCTGCCGGAAGTACATATGCCACAGATGCCACTACTCCGTGGCATCTGTGGCATATGCCGGAAGTACTTGCCACAGATGCCACGAAATGAGCCAGGCCCTACTGGGTAAAAGGTACACTAGTATTGGCAGACCTTCATCATATCAGAACCATATAGGCTAATATGTTTTGGTTATAGGTAAGCATTGGGTTGAGAGGATTGGGTTGATGTATTGATACTTGTAGACGCTGATTAAAGTGAAACTATTTGTATATTACTTTATTTACTGCTGGGTAGAATGTGAATTTAATCCAGGTGTGTCTAGTTTATCATGAATGTAGCCTATCTGCTAAGTAAATAAAAGTAGGCTACTATTTACCTCTGAACTGCAGTGGAGTAGTACAAAGAAGCAACATGGAAATAAATAAATCAAGAAAAGTACAAGTAACTCAAAAGTGTACGTTAAGTGCAGTAGGCTACTTGAGTAAATGTACTTAGTTACTTTACAGCACTGCCTACTCCAAAGTAAAAATGCCCACAACAAGACACCATCTGCGTGTCCTGCAGAAACTACAAACAGATAACAACACATGGTGGTTTAACATTCTTCCTGTGTGCGGGAGATACATAGACTACTAACTAGGCCAACAATAAACACTTAAAACTAGCTTAACGATAGCCCCGTTGACTGCAAGCAAGGAGCAGTGACGCCTCGGAGTTCAAACATCGCCCAACTAAAACAGGTGAGTAGATCTACCTGTGGTTAATTAAAGCAAACATGCTAACAAGTCACAACATTCAAATGTGAAAACTACTTACCGAGATTCGCATATTTACAAGAAAACGACCACCAAAGTTTCGCCGAATTTACACCCCGGGCAGCCGCATGGAGATTTACATTGGTAGGCTAACTAGCAAATGTGACGGCCGTCGGGAATTACAATTCCGACGTTAGCCTAGTCCCCGAACGCTTCATGAAAGCTTTACTGGAGTACTATAGCCTACTTTAATTTAATTTAAATTACCATAAGCAAAGAGTTTGGAGGTTTGAATCAACTTAAACTGAGATTCAAGCACACCGCCATGAATTAATCTAACAAGGTGAAAAACTAAAAATGTTCTAGTCAACTAACATGACCCCATTGCTCAAAGTGTTGCCCACATTTGTTTGAAATGGTCAAACACAGAAAAGGGTGGGAAACATAGCTTTGAAGGATCCTGCCTCATCTACCTGTTGTATTGGGAAATAACTACTGTCATTCATTGAGTAATTGTTCTACACACAGGGTGCAACAGGGATACAGCTGATCCTTCTGGAGGATACCTGAGTAACATCACTCAGTATCCTCCAGAAGATGCTGTGTGTTCTGTCACCACAATATCAGTTGCATTTGAATGGAAGACTTGCATGTCCCAATAGACCCTGCAGTACTGTACTTCCAAAATCTATCCTTTTCATGGTGGGATTGAGGAGTCTGTCCTTTAACAGATTATGGGAACCACCTGCAGCTCACATTGCAGGAATGCACATGGGTGTAATGTGTGAACTCATAATGGCACACCATGTTCCATGTGTGTACAACCTGTCATCCTTATGGGGCTCCTCTCAAGGATATGTATTGTATTTGACATCTGTTGTATACATGGCTTAAGTGTTCTATGTTTTATTGTTATGGATGAATATATAATAATAATGTATTGCATCTTTTTATCACGATCACCTGGAAATAATCACAAAGGTCTTATGCAGTCAGATCATAAAAGCTTAGATATTCACATGAATACACAAAAATCATACAAATCTACACCTAAAAACAAACAGTAACGTCTCTGATGCCAAGCGCACTGTTGTTTTGACACCTGTGCTCACCTTGCCTTATGTACCATTGTCAATGTTTTCACAGCCTGCCCAGGTGCCTGAGGACAGCATTCGACCCTTGAATCCCACACTGCCAGGTGAGCTGTCAGTTGGTATTGGTTTAATGTTTATTTTTGTATGTGTTATGAATACCATATTAAATACTGGAAACTGTAATGTTATGAATACTGTGTGCATCACTGTTAGTGCAAACTTATATTTTCTCTTTGATTCATTAACTGTACTCTAATTCTCTCTCTCAACTGCATTTATCTAATATTGTCTCTCTTGTGTTTATTTCTCCCTTGCTATGTTTATTTCTTTTTTTCCCAGTGGTTCCCCGGCCAGGCCGCCACAGAAGGCCCATGACGGCTCCAAAGACTCCGAAAGAGAAGGCGTCTAAGAAGAAAAGAATAATTCTGACTGTCCTGGTTGTTGTGGTTTTACTGGGCATACTAGTCACTGCAGCATACTTTAGTGAGTCACACATCATGGACATGATTTCTTACTCTAACACAGAAAATCACTGGATAACATACCAAACAGACAATTCCTTTATTTATTTTTATCAGCCATCACTACTTCGATTCCATAGAAAGATTTGTTGTAAAGGTGTATATGTGTTGACGGGATTCAGTTGTTTTCATTGTATTTTAATCATCCAAGCAAAATGATGTCTAACCTGTGCTACACCCTTCTTTTCCATTGTGCCTCTCCTTTTTCCTTTAGTTAAGCAGCTGATTGACAGCAAATATTTCTTCTGCAAGAGTTCCGTGAAGTTTATCCCGATAGACAAGGCCTGTGACGGGAATAATGACTGTTCTGGAGGAGAGGATGAATTGTCATGTCTGTCAAGCTTTAAGGTCAACACTACCTTTCCAGGTAAAACAAACACCTTGCTTAGACACAAAAACAAAGCTTAGAAAATATGTCTCTTCTTTTCTTACTTTGTGGGCTATTCCTCCCTCCAGTGCGGCTCATGACAGCGCAGCAGGTCCTGCAGGTCTACAGTCCTGGCCCAGGTTGGCGGAGTGTGTGTAGCGACGACTGGGCCGAGCAACACACACAGACAGCATGTAAACAACTGGGATACACATAGTGAGTTTACACATGAATATACACTATATATACATATGATTTATACCAATGCAGAGTTTTTGTTGCAGACTATGTTATTTGACCTGAAATCCAGTCTTACATCGTCCCCCTTTTGTCTTTACAGTAAACCTAAAAGCACAAGTGTCAGAGTGGACACGTTGTTGCTTCCTTTGAAAACTGGACCATTCACAGCTATCAGGCCCGGGACTACAAAAACACCCATTCATCAGGCTACTATAGACCGGTGAGAAGGACATCTGTCATTAAACAGGAATTTGATTTCATTTTCATTTAATCGTTTATTTGAACCGGGACAGTGCACATTGATGAACACTTTAAAACAAAATAATGCTTACAAGTGTAAATGAGCCGGATTTATTTCCATCCGTAGTCCCGTCACATACAACATTTAAGAACATAACATTTATATACATAGCAAAAATAAATACATGATATGCAGGAAGAGCATGAGCAGCATACAAGCATTTACCACATGGCAGTACAATGTAGCAGCTATGATATATAAAGTGCAAGAGTAGATACCCCTTTATAAAAGTGCATTTAGCGGTGATTACACGTCTGTTTGTTGCTCAACCATTCTTTGAGTTGACCTTTGAAGCTATTGAGAGTGGGACAATCCCGTATCTCAGTTGGGAGGCTATTCCACAATGAGCTGCCTTTAATGGAGAGGACATTTTGTCCAATAGTTGTCCGTCTATGGTGGACTTCACAGTGTCTGCTGGTTTCTGACCTAGTGCAGCGTCCAGTGTGTTTTTTGTGGATGAATTCTCCTAAGGGGGGGAGGGGGGGCCAGTCCATGTGAACATTTATAAAAAAAACACATACTTTTAAAAGACTTAAAATTGTCAAAACTCAAGAAATTGTGATTTTTCTAGGATGGTACAGTGGTGGTATGAATTTGGCTTTCTGTCAAACACCTTGATAGCTCTCTTGTACAGCTGTTCTATAGGTTTCAGGTTTGTGGCACAAGCAAACGACCAATTTGTAAAACAGTATTCAATGTGGGATAGAATCATGCAGTGGAGGTATGACTTTACAACATTGACAGTTAAGAAAGGTCTAATTTGTTTACAATTTAGCAAGTTGAATTTAATGGTATTGGAGACTTTCTTGATATGTTTCTTAAAAGTCAAGTTCGAGTCCAGTATGACTCCAAGACACTTGAACTGGGAGACTAGTTCTAATTCTGCTCCGTTTAAAAACACATTGGATCCTTCGATTTTGACTGGTCGTTTACTGAACATCATGCATACTGTTTTTTTTTACATTTAACTGTAAGCAAATGTTGTTCAGCCAGTGTTGAACCTTGTCCAAAGCTTTTGAGAGACAAGGTGAGATCATTTCAGTGTTCTTCCTGTGTACAAAGATGACCGCATCATCGGCATACATTTGTACATTCAACTCAGGACATACATTAGGCAAGTCATTAATGTACAGAGAAAACAGTAACGGTCCAAGAATGGAACCTTGTGGAACCCCAACAGGGTTGACAAGGAAGGGGGATTTGGTACCGTTGACCAAAACACACAGTTTTCTGTTCGATAAATAAGACTTAAACCAATGTATCGAAACTGCTGAAAAATTGAAATGAGTCAGCTTTGTAAGGAGCACTTTGATCTGGAGTTACTGTGTGTTATTGCTTTTTGTCTCTTGTACACATTTAGTTGTTATCTTTTCTCACAGTTTCTGTTCCTAAAATATTTTAAAAATCCAGTTTTTGTTCCCTCTTTGGCTTAAACCTTATGAAAGTCAACACAAAAAGTCTCGTAGTTCACTCCAATAAAGCAGAAGAGAAACAGACAAAGTTCAGCATGATGGTTAATTAAGGTCAACATTTTATTATGAATTTTGTTTATTGTGCAGACATTTGTTTTTCATGTGTAACTCTAAATACTTGATTAATTACTTTTTTCCTTTACAGCAGTGTATGCAAATCCGGCTCTGTGATTTCTTTGTCCTGTTCAGGTGAGTCTTATTTTTAGAAAATCTACCATTGTCACTAACATTGTTTACAGTTTGTTTTAAGATAGCAGAGTATGTCTCATGGCTGGAAATCATATGGTTGTGGGAGCAGTTTGGCTCAACAGGCCTACACATGTCTAGACGGCAAAACTCTTTCCTAGCAACATATCACTGTTTTTTATTCTTAGCAACAAAAAAAGGTTGTGAAATAATAAGAAACTAGTCTAACCTGACCTTGACAGTTTGAATAATAGGATCTAGATGGATTAACCAACAAAGGCATAAAATAAAAGTTACGTTAGAATGGACTACAGTGAAGAAAACATTCTTAAATTAACAAGACAACTTTGTTTATCAGACTGTGGACAGGTGGGCTTTCAGGACCGTGTTGTCGGGGGTTCAGATGCTTTCATTGAGGACTGGCCCTGGCAGGTTAGCTTGCAACAGGGAGGCCAACACTCATGTGGAGGCTCACTGGTGTCCCCACGTTGGATTATCACTGCTGCCCATTGCTTCACTGGGTCAGTATGAGTTCCACATGTCCAATGAATTTCCTTTGTGGTTAATATGTCATACATAAACTTATACTCACACTTTCTCCTTGTTTTCTTTTTTGGGCCCTGCAGCAGTAAAAAAGAGCTGAGTCGCTGGAGAGTGGTGTCAGGCCGGACATACATAGGCACACTAGGAGGTTCCTATGTGGACAGAATCATATTAAATGCAAACTACGATCCAGCACGAAACGACTACGACATTGCAATGATGAGACTGAGCAGCCCGATATCAGTGGGAGGTTAGAGTTTAATTAAATACTTTAGAAAATATGGATTTGATTATTGTAAAGTCTGTAGCTATTCCAAATTGCCCTCTAGTGATGTACATTTCAAGCTCTCCACCTTACAGTAGATCAAATTCAGCCATTGTTATCAACACTTTAACTGTACTTTTTAATTTGCCAAAGCTACATGTATGACAGGAACAAATAGTAACAAAGCTTAAGGCCTACATTTGAATGCATTCCCCCTGTTTTTCAGTGAGCCGCAAACCGGTTTGTCTACCTCCCAAAGCCTTTGGCCTTCCTTCCCAAGCCTCCATGTCAGTGACTGGCTGGGGATACCTGGAGGAAAAGGGTGAGAAACCTACTCACTACCTCATCATTATCAACTGCCACTCTGTGAACAAGAACTTCTCTTATCTTTCGCTAAAACCCAAATGTTGCATCGTATTCTCCCTTTAGGTAAGGTTTCTCCTACACTTCAGAAGGCCTCTATCCCTCTGATAGGGCGGCTGAAGTGTGCCAGCCCCACAGTGTATGGGAGTTCAATAACCCAAAGAATGATCTGTGCTGGTTTCCTGGATGGGGGAGTGGATGCCTGCCAGGTAACGGACCACTGATTCAAGTCAGAAACGATAACGCTTAAGAATTTAAAACACAAATAAGAATATTTTGAGTTATACTTCTATAGTTTTGTACATGTTGTAGTTTAAAGAATGGTCCAATATTGACGTTCTCTACTGGCAAATTGTTTGGATATTCAGAGATGAGATAACATTTTATTGTGCTGTAATGGCTCCCAGGGGGACAGTGGGGGTCCTTTGGTGTATTTCGCCTCCTCTCAATGGCATCTGGTTGGAGTGGTGAGCTGGGGGGTCGGCTGTGCACGGGAGAGAAAACCAGGTGTCTACTCCAACGTCGAAGAAATGCTAAACTGGATTCGAACAGTAGTTGAGGTAAAGAATATACGTTTCTGTGTTAGTCAGGGCAACTTAACTTTCTAAAATATAGGAAGTGCAATACATACAAAGCCTGCCCTAATGATTTTTACTTTCTTCCTCTAGAAAACCCCCTGAGGTCTGCCTTGGACAGCCTGTGAAACTCAAAGAAATGTTTTGTTTCAATGTGGATGACTTAAGAGGGTAGAAAGAAGGAAAGAAAGGGAAATTCAAAGATCATAGCAACACAAAATAACTGTTAAACACAGCCAAATGCAAAAACACTGCACACACACGGTTTCACACAAAATGTATTTCAGGTGTTTGTGCCATTTCAGGTTCTTATCTCAGGGGAAAAGTATATGTATGTTATGTGTTGCTGGCTAGTCGGAAATGTTTTTTTTAAATCAACAATGTAGTCATTTGACAGACCAAATGTACTGATTATGCGTTTTTAAATAAAGCTGGTATCAAATGTGAATATATTTGACCACTGGTTTTGACAAAAGGACTTAGCAATAACTGTTCAAACTCTTGTAATTGTGTAGAGTTTGGACCTCACCAGACTGGCAGACCTCAGACATAATGTACTTGATTACTATGTGCTATGATTTTAGTTTTGCCATGTGTTATGATGGGTTTATACAATTAATGGCAATAGGCGAGAAACAGGGTAAACCTGTGCCAAATCCAGCAGAATTCAGTGTGTCAGGTTATGTCACCAATATAAGTGATCACGTTTATGGTGCTTATTCAATTGATCTGATGGCTGTCCCTTAACGCACCTTTTTACAGCATTGACATGTGCTTGCATTCTTCTTACAGATTGTTTTACATGAGCACTTTAATTGAAAATTACTTGACTATGTATGCCCATATCATTTAATTTACTAATAATGCACTAAAGACTAACTCTAACCACACTGTTACGTATTCATGGTGCTGCCACACCGAGTTTCAAAGTGCAATCAGATATCCAGCATGCATTAAGAAAACTCACACCATGGCCAGATTTAGGTGGTGGCCACTGAGATGTAGGCCTTTACAGCAAAAGGATATTAGTGTAAATTCATTAGAGCGAGCAATAGAGATAAGTATGTAAATGTGTGCATTCAGGAAAAATAATTGTATTTCTATGTTTTAAATCCATAATCGAGTTGTTGCAAAGCAAAACAATGCATCTACCTTTTATTTTTGAAATATTTATCCTTTCTTGTCTGAGACATGCACAAAAAATAGTATACATTGGCACAGAATTTTAAAAATAATAGTTTACATATTTTATTTTACTGTAGGATAGGAATAGCTTTTCTTGTAAGGTTTGGTGGTTGCCACAGTGGATAATAATATTTGACTGTATATATATGGTACTTTTTGTTGATTATTTTTTATACCTGTAAATAGGTTGTACATATAATAAAGACTTTCTCCTTCAACCTGGCATTCCGAAAGATTGCTTTATCACACAATTAACTTGATATTTTGTATGAATATCACCTTGTGCCTTGACTTTGTTAAAACGCCCCCTTGTGGAGAAAATGTTATTTTTCGTGTTGTACCAGTTTCCACAGGTCCAACTAGCCTGAATGCTCACATAACCAAATTGTATAGCTTGATAAACTATTTTAGAACGTTTTTTCTATGACTTCTATGATGAAAAAGACACACAACATAATGAATAAAAAAGGAGGACAAGGTGATTATGTATGAAAAAACATTTATAATTTCTTGGATATCAGAGCACTACAAAGGCCTAATGGGAAAACCTAAGTGCAGAATACGCATAGCAAGTCTGGTCTGAAAGCCATCAACACATTTCCCCCTATAGCATTTAACCTAGCTCTTTCACTAAAGCAGATTGATTGGATAGTTTTATCTTTGCAGTAGCTGTTCAATTCAATTATTAATTGTCAACGTTAGAAAGAATGAGTGCTGAGAACATTGAAACATGAACTTTAAAGTCCTTCAGAACAACTCTGTAGCAGCTCACTTAATAATTAGCATGTAGAGATTAACAAGTGTACATATAAGATGCATTCATGGTTATCTCCGTGAACGACTGGGGCCTTTGAATGGGTCATCCTGTATAAAAAAAAGAAATGGAGAAGAAAAATTATTAAAACATTTGCCAAAATAAGATAATCAGATCAAATTAAGAACATTTTAGTGCGTAAATACAACATGGCTTTTGCTAAGCATGTAACACAAAATTCATTCTTCATCATTACAAAACGCACCCCAGCACTCAGGCTACATAATCTTCTCTGATCCCTTCTTACCTCCTCATCATCACTGTCGTCAAATGCAACTCCTTTAGTTGACTGGCTCTGAGAGCTCAACTTGGTGAAAGATGAAGACGATGATGCTGGTCTGTGGTGAGCAAGAGAAGAAGCCATGGTAAAATATGCGAGTCAAAAACACATCACACATTTTAAATATGAAGTTAGCGACAGAGAAGGTGAATGCAGTATAAACAGCTATGTGTGTGTACAGGTTTCTTAATGTATTCCACTGGCACGTTGTAGATACCTCGGAGGAGGGCGGGTCGTTTTCATTACAGGAATATCCTCATCTGAGTCCTCGATGGTCACCTAGAGAAGGATACAAATGAGAAGTAAAGTTGGAGGATGATGCAGTTGACATACTGTATGAGTGTGTGTAACTAGGGATTCATTTACTTCATCTGCATAGGATTTGTTGGCTCCAGGTCGAGATGATCTTTGGGATGGAGATTGAAATGCTGAAAAATAAGAAGAAGAGAGACACATTGAAGTCCAGGAAGGAATTGAAAGATGAGGAATGGGTTACAGAAGAAAACTGATTTATAGTTTTTTTTACCAAAAGTATAGAAGATTCCTGTGATGCCTAGTTTTGGCATATCAGTGTTGTTTACAGAATATTAACTTGTGTTTCTATAGATCATCACACTCACACACACATCTCACACTCCCCTACCTTGCATAATACTCCTGCTTTGGGTTGCTGCTGAAGATTTCTGGGCACGGCCCCGACCAGCTGGCTTTGGTTCGGAGGCAGCTGCACCTGGATGGACGGATAGACACTTATGGACGAGGATTCCCGATGCACTCACTGCACTTTATCATTAGTGTTATGATTCTAATTTGTTTGGGATAGTGGTGGTCTAATGCAGTGGTTCTCAAATGGGGGTACGCGGACCCCTAGGGGTACGTTGGAGTACTGCAGGGGGTACGTGAGATTTATTTTATGTTAATAAAAAAAAAAAACATAATTAATGCATTTAAACGAATTACTTTATTCAAACGTTTACAGTAATTCTGGATAATAAAATGGGAAGAATAAACGGGGTGCTCTCTTTTCCTCTCCCTCTCCTGACAGCCCGTCAGTCTCGTGCAGCTCGCTGAACTTGTAATAAGTGACCCGACAGTAAAGAATACACATATTTATAACTAGTTTAGCTAGTTCCAGAGTAGATGTACTAGCTAAGTGTGTTAGGTCTAACTCTTAGTGTGTTTTGCTCCGCTCAACGGTCCGTCACAGCGGCGGAGCTGTGATCATGCAGAGCTGCGTGTTCTCCGTCAGCAGCAGCTGATCTGATCTCTGATCTCTCTCTCGCGTCCAGTTAGACTTCACTCGCGTTTATGTCCAAATCTATCAGATCTAGCTAGTTCTAGCTAATGATATGACTGCCTGGTTATCAAAGGACCTAAACAATAAGCGTTGCTTGGCAACAGCGTGTGGCCGCAAAGTATAGCGCAGCATTATGCATATGTTTATATGAGGGGTCAAAATCCCATGCTCATAAAATGCTTATATATTTTTTTCTCTTCATTCCCCACGCCCCAAAATAAATAAATAAATATACCAATTTTAGGAAAAGTAAGGAAGTTTGAGCAGTGTGGGTTTTATATTAACAGAGTTACACATATTTCAAAACGATGAGTGTAATAACTGCAGTTTGCCTCCCTGTCAGAATGACAAAGGTCCTCAGTGAAGCACAAGCCCATGTTTCACTACATTGTAAGTACAACTTATTAAAAAGATCAGTTCAATGCAACTAATGTCGTCTTAGTGTTATTGCATGATGTTAAAATTGGTTTGCCATGAATTTAGTGATGGATTATAAACATTTGAAATGTAGCATTTAAGTGTTTCTCAGTTACAAGGTTGTTGTTTTAATAAATCAGACACTGATGGTGCAGTGCTGTACTGTACCTCTTTATATAGGCATTTTGTCCCTAACAAATTGTTTTTGCGCTGGTCAGGGGGTACTTGGCGGAATATTTTTTTCAAAGGGGGTACATTATTGAAAAAAGTTTGAGAACCACTGGTCTAATGGATAGTGAGGTGGGCTGAAGATCGGAAGGTTGTGAGTTCAAATCCCGCCAGGAACACCACCACTAGTGTGCCCTTGAGTAAGGCACTTAGCCCTTAGTTACTTAGTTACTAATTGTAAGTCGCTTTGGCTAAAAGCGTCAGCTAAATGTAATGTAATTGTTTTACTCTCTCATTTAAGTGGTATATACTATTTAAAGAGCATTGTTTTAATTGGTTGTTGATAATCCGAAGACACAAACATCTCGTGTGCAACTGACCTGCCAAAACAATCTTTAAATGAGGACTTTTCCCTAATTTGAACACCCAGGTTCACTAGAGAAAGTGTGTTACATGGTCTGAATCATCTTGTCTTCCCTCTGCTGGAGTTTAAGGTGTGACTGAACAGTTCTTATGTTGTTTATTTAAGTGAGTCGACAGCACATATTCTTAGAATATTTTATCAAACGTTATGAATCCATAGATAGTACTCATTATAGTCTGTGCTGAATTTAACATTGTAAAAATGCTATTCTTATTATTAGATTATTAGATGATGTATTAGTTAACCAACATACTAGCCAATATCTCATGTATCCTCCAATGTCAGCTGAGTCTATCCATCATAAATAAACATTCTAATGAACTGGTTTCTATTATTTTCTTTCCAATGACCTACTGTGAGCATTAGCATTGGTTATTAGGCATATTTCTCCATTGACCTTAAACATAGAGTCTGGTAGGCAGTCTGGAGCCTAAAATCTAATCTATTTACTACTGTGAATCTCTCTGGGCCTTTGGTTGTGACAGATAACACATCAACTCACCTCTGCCCCTTCCCCGGCTCCCCCGCCCCCTCGCTCCTCGCCCTCTGCCTCGCGTTGGGGGAGCTAATGGGGCCGCGTCTTCATCAGATTCCAAAGCAAGATCAACCGACATATCTACAGGCATCTCCCCACGCTCCAAACGGTGAGCTTTAGCTCTGTTGATAGCCTGAGAGATAAAGCACATACAATTAAACACAACCAGTCAGCACAACACTTCAGGCTTATGTGAAATATGTATTTACTTCTTTGATTTCATTCTCTTCCTCTGTGGTGTTCTTTTTGGAGTCTCTGAATCGTTGGATCTGAAAATGTAAAAAACAAGCACTCTTATAATGACGTACACCATCACCTCAGCCTTCCCTAATTCTTATGCAAGCCCCCCCCCTCACCTCCAGGTCTATGTCCTGCTCCGTGGTTACTCCTCTGGCTTGGAGGTGGCGCTGTGTCTTCTCTAACTGGTAGGTGATCAGCTCCTCAATGGCGTCTTTCTCATCTTTGTCCACAAACTCCTGAATTGCCTTCCCCATGCCGTGCTCGGTCAGGAGGGACAGCTGCACGTTCTGAGAAGATAAGCACACTTTTTTTTAAAGAATACTGAGAAAAAGTAGATGAAAATGAAAGTGTTATGGCACCCTGTAAGTGTGTGAATGTAAATCCATGTGTGGCAGTACCTGTTCAGTTGCCTCAAAGTACTGTTTCACCAGATCCTCCACCCTCAGACCCTCAACTGCTGTGGTTTTTAACAGTCTGCCGTAATCCACATTGACCTCATCTGAAAAGCACAAAGATTAAAACATGTTACATTTACGAAACTCTGCATCTATGAATGCAGTATACCAGCGGTTCCCAACCGTTTTCAACCCAGGGCCCACTTAAGAATCAAAAAATGTTTGCGGCCTACATTCAACCATAAACAATACGGAAGCTAAATAAAGTTCTCATTGGTCAATTCAGAACATGTGACACGTTGTTAATCCAGAAGTACAGACCGCTGTTAAGGACTGCAATGACCTTTGCTACGGAGGATCAAGAAAGAGAAAGGAAAGAAGGTTTAAAAAAATTTAAAAAAATCTTAAAAATGAAAATGTTTCCACACAAATCATAATGTTTTGCAAATTATTTGGCGGCCCACTTGCAATGCCCACAGGTTGGGATCCGCTGGTGTATACTGTAGATTCACAGCTGTGTGTGTGTCAGACCTTTGTTATCCTCCTTCTGTTCACGGCGTCTGAGAAAGTGGATGACGTCTTTTGGGTTGGCAACACGGTCCACAAACTTCTGACTGAAGCGAGAAGTGTTGAACGCCTCAAAGCCTCCGCTGTAGTCCACCTGACGAAGGCAGTGAAGATGATGCATTTGTGTGTACTGCAATAGGAATGTGTGTGTACACTTTGAAAGAGTGTCCATCTTACCCTCAGGCGAATAAGAGGTTTCTCTGGTGTGAGCGGACAACCAAGCCTCTCTCTTTCTGCTTGTTCCAACATCTCTGTGACCTACCAAATGACAGAAAGAATATTATGAGATGACACATAAAGGGGAAATTAGAGTAAGAGCTGGTTCTGTACATTTGTAGGTGACTTTTAGTGTTACCTTTGCATAGCACAAGTCCTCCACCTTCTTTGTGACCTGGGGTGTGTCCGGTGTAAAGATGTCTTGGTAGTCAGCCAGCACCACGTCTTGGATGAAGAACTGACGCACCGTGTTGAGGGGGATCTTTTGCATGTTCATCTTACGACCCTTCACCCTCAGCAGCCCTATGTGTCTAGAGCCACACAAACAGAGTGTCATGGTTACTTCATTGTTCTTATACACATTGAGAGTATACTATCCATTGTGTGTGTTTCTGTGTGTATTCATGGGTACTTCTTGGCTGCCTCTCCAGGGGACAGAGAGGTGGCTACAGAGCTGCCAGGCTGTGTCACATAGAAGAGCTGCTGTTCATTCCTGGTTGGAGCAATCAAACACTCATGCTCGTGGCCCCACACCACCAAGTCAATAAAGTCATCCAGGAACTGCTCAGGGATGTAGTTAGTGGGACCGTGCTTACTCCTACAGAAGACACAGAAGAAGAAAAAACACGATGTAGAGTAATATAGGAAAAGAATGCTGTTTTGATACTCAAACCACTAACAGGTATTGTATTTGAGAGATAATACAGTAAAGGAAAACGAAATGAATGAAAGCCTAAATATTTTCACCTTCTTAAAAATAGTTTTTTCTTACCACACAAATCCTGCATTATCACGAAGTGGTACGTAACAGATTTAAAGTAAGCGATATGTACAGAGGACAACATGCATCTTTAATACAGTGACTTTTTCTGTGGTTACTCTAGGATATACAGCTTTTTGCTCTGATTTAAACCGTCCAACCACATACACATGCACACACCTGTTCTGGTGGATGGTGAAGAGATTAAACCACTCATCTTGGTCTTCTTTGGGGCGAAGCATGGTTACCTGTTTGTTAACGAACATCCTGTACAAGCGCTCATCTGGGATAGAGCCTACACACACAATTATACATAATTAAGAGCAAAACATGAATCATTTCAATAATGTTTGAAGAACACAGAAATAGACTACATGAGGTATAGATATTACTAGTCCACCATGATACACATTACAAACACTTACCAAGACCGAATAGGGCTAGCTTGGTGATTCCTTTCTGCATGAGGATGGGACTAATCTCTATCTTCTCCACTGAATGGGAATGACCAAAGTGATTGACAAGACCAGACGCACTTATCAGATCCAACGCACACAAGCCTTCAGCCTTGAGGGAAATAAAGTGAAAATAAAACAAACAACTTTAAATGGGTACAACAAAAAATACACACAAATATTCACGTCTTATGTCAAATAATTGTATACTATTAATGCTGGACACAAAACTCACCCCAGTTGGGTCATCATGATTACCGTGAATGCTGAACGCAGGAATAGAGATGTTCAGGTTTTCATCCTGATAGTTAACCCATGGAAAACTTAAACACACATATAACAACGTTAATGTAACTAGAATACAGGGTTTTGATAAAATGATCTTTCAAACGAAGCAGTACTGACTGGGTTGTGTTAAAGTTGACCTTCTGGTCACTGAGAATGTTGAAGTTTATGGGTTTGTCTCCCATGCAGTATCGTCTAAGCATCGTGATGCAGGTGTGGAGGCATCGTCGTGACGGCTTGTTCTCATGGAACAAATCACCACCCAGCAGGATGAAATCCACCTGCAGGCAAACAAAGGAGTAGGAATAAGCAGTGTGCTTTGAAAACAGGTGTACATTTTTAGGGCTATTCGTCTGAGATATACAATAATCTGATGTAATGTTGAGTCATATACACATCTATCAACTCTTGAATGTACCTGATTTGTCTTGGCACATTTTAAGATTTCTTCCAGTGTGTTAAAAGAGTCATTGCCACGGATAGCATCCTTCTCGAGGTAACCGAGGTGAATATCTGTAGCAATAAGGATCTTAAAAGTATCCTCATCATCCCTAGTAAAAAGAAATACACACGTACAACCATTACAACACACAGCTCATAGATTGTTTGTTCATCGGCACACCTTTTCAAAAACCAGCAAAATCTCCATATATTTGTTTAGGCAAAGTTAAACAAACTCACAAGGTGCTCTCTGAGGACATGGTGATGTGGGAGATGAGATGTCACTGTTGAAAGGTGGTCAGCAAAAGGTTGCTTCTGCAGAAAACACACATAAAAAAACAACATTTTAGACATGCTACAAAAATATCACAAGTATTATTTGTGCAAATAATATGTTGATTTTTAAGGAGATCATATACATTCCACTGATATCACAGTGATAAGGTAAGTAATGAATAATTAACTAACCATGAGCTTTTCCTGAGAAGTAATACAGAATACGCATACTTGTTATGTTTACATCGTGCTCACCGACTATTCACTTTACGATACGGTGTACAGTCAGACATGATTGTGTTATACTCTGAGATAGCTAGCTAGCTAATTATCATATAGTAAAATCGTAGCTAACAGCAATATAGTAAGTCAAGTTTACGTTAGCTTTCACTTTTCCTAGAGAACTTACGAGTGCAAGCTCTCAATGTAATGGGAGAATGTTACAATGTTTATAGGTCTTAACTTACATTTGGTTAGATAATTATTTGTCCTTGCTATTGCTACAACGTGTAAGAAACACTTTTTGTAACCCACCTCCTCATGAGCATGTAAACATGCGAGAAAATCCCGGCAAGTCTTGCTGCAAACCCTTTCCCCGCCTCCAACAGATGCCTAATGGTTATTGTAGTTTCATTTGAAATGATCGCCGTTCTCAAATGCAGAATCTCCGCTGTTGATAAACTACACTTCTGGTAAGCAAATAAGAGCGTTTGTTTTACTACTCAGGTCGCGCCGGTCTAGCCTGCTCTCAAAAATAACGGATGTTCAGCACCTGACGGACCAAGCTGGTATATAAATCATTCACACCCATCAGAAACCCTGGATTGTGTTGCCTGTCAAGTGATGTTTTCTTTTCCCAACCCATATTAGCACTAGCAGCCATATAATCTGCGTTTAGCTAGCAGGCTGTTAATCGTTATGCATTTGTTTTGCCTTTAACTATAATTTAAACTAGCTATTTTACGACGTGGTTTGCAACAGCGACAGCGAGAGGAAGTGGATTGGCTGCATTTCGATGGAGACGCTGTCAAAGACACTCGGTGCTGATGCTACGCGGGAGAAGGTAGCTTTATCGTTACTACACTTAACACTCATCTAAAATACTCTTATAATGAAGCGTTAAAGCTGCGAGCCACCGTTTATGGTGAGTTAGATGGATCATGGACTATAAAAATAACCTAGCAGCAGTTGCTACAACTCAGTCCAGCTGATGTTGCAGAACTAGAAAGTGTGCTGAAGTGTCAATGTGCAATATATTTGACTTGAGCAGGGCAAAATCATATTGTAATTTTAGTGGAAGCTGGAGCATGACAATACAAGTTTGAGCTCATATTTACTTCCCTATTGTCTATGTATTTATTATTTGCTGGTCATTGATCACATGCTACTCTCACTGCAATATAGAACTATCCCTCATTGAAAATATACTGTAGAAATCTACAATATTTGCCAGCTATTGTGGATGCTTGTCAACATTTAGCCCCTCTTTTCCTGCAGGAGCTCTGTCCACCTCCAGCACCCAGAGGAGTAGTATCTGACATCATGTCACTCCCATCCTACAGAGAGTATCCTGCCCACCGTCCCTTCATCAGCACACTTGTGCATCACACACCCCAAACACGCACACATCTTTCATGTCGACCACCATCACCCAGCAAGGCATTCCCAGAGACCAACTGTACAGGTAACTTTAAATATGTGTGTGTGTGTGTGTGTGTGTGTGTGTGTGTGTGTGTGTGTGTGTGTGTGTGTGTGTGTGTGTGTGTGTGTGTGTGTGTGTTGTTTTCCCTTTTACAAAGTTTCCATTCAGGTATTGCAGTGTTTCAGGGCTCCATGGTTACAGCATGTGTAACATGAAGCCACTACTTGGATGTCTCAGTTGCACCGACATCTATTCATTCTCTCCCTCTATCGATCCTACACTGCTATTCTTGCACCCAAACTTTAAAATAATATCTGATTACACCACAACTACTATACTCCTGCTCTGAATATGTTCAATATATCCCCATGTGCATCATATCCTGTTATGATCTCCATGTGTAGAGATCCTATCTGGCCTGAGGAATCTCCAGGAGAAGATCAGGAGGTTGGAGTTGGAGAAAGGAGCTGCAAAGCTCAGTCTGCACACTATGGGGAAAGAGGCATTGTCCACACATCTGCAGAGTGATAAAGTCACACAGCAACTCTTGAAGGATCACACAGACACAGATAGAGAGAGAAATGGCAAGTCCAACTGCAATCAAGGTGGGTATATCAACAACATATTAAAATGGAAGGCTGCTGTGTGTTAATTAAATTAATGTATCTTTCAATAGAATCATATTGTGATCAAATCATATATTGTTAAAATAATTCATTGTTAAAAAAATTAATTCTGTGTATTGTTTTCCAACAGCAGAGGGCAGGATTTATTTTGAAAATACCCCAAAGTAGGAAACTCGAACTATTGTTTTAATATGAGTTACTGCCATGCTTATACACAAACACAGTGTATATCTGGAAATATATATTTGTTTAAATTGGTGTTCGTTACACTTAAAAGTGTTCTTTATTTTTCTCTAAAGTTCTCATTTAAATGAGACAATACTCGTAACTTTTCACTTGGTCAGTGTTTTATTCAGACAGGAGCATACAGAAATATGCTTAACTTATATGATGATTTGATATTACATTTCCAGAAAATGAGCTATATTATGATATAATCTGTTACTGAGATAGGAAATTACCTATATGGTTATAGAAGTTTTTGGCCATGTTGTCCAGGCTTAAACTGGTTTATTTTTCCTCTTATTCCTTATTTCTTATATAATAATAATAATACATTACATTTATAAAGCGCTTACAAGCAAGTAAAACAAAATAACAACAAAAGTAGAAAGTGCTAAGCTACTGTATGTGGAATAAGGGCAAGGGGTTAGTTGATTAGGAGTTGAAGGCAAGAGTGAAAAGGTGAGTTTTGAGGGATTGTTTGAATGATGTGAGAGTGTTGGCGGATCTGACGTGGCTGGGGAGGGAGTTCCAGAGTGCGGGGGAGGCTGCTGCGAAGGCCCTGTCACCCCAGGTCCGGAGCTTTGTCCTGATGGGCTGCAGTAGGTTAGCTTCAGCAGACCTGAGGCGATGGGTGGGGTTGTGTCGTTGGATGAGGTCACAGAGGTAGGGGGGGGGCAAGGTTGTTGAGGGCTTTGAAAGTGAAAAGTAATATTTTAAAGTCAATGCGGTGTTTGATGGGGAGCCAGTGGAGGTTATGGAGGATAGGAGTGATGTGGTCGGAGCGTCGGGTGGAGGTGAGCAAGCGGGCAGCTGAGTTTTGGACATATTAGTGTGAATGCAGGTGATCCAAAAAGTATGCTGTTGCAGTAATCCAGTCGGGATGTTATAAAGGCATGGATCAGAGTTTCAGCAGCGGTCGATGAGAGGGAGGGTCTAATGCGGGCGATGTTCTTTAAATGGAAGAATGCGTTTTTGTGACCTGGTTGACATGAGGGATGAAAGTGAGGGTGGGGTCGAGGATGATGCCAAGGTTACGGATGTGAGTGGAGGGGTTGACAATGGAGACATCGATGGTAAGAGAAAAATCTTGGGTTGAGCGGGTAAGTGAGTTTGGGCCAATGATTATAAGTTCCGATTTGTCACAGTTAAGTTTTAGAAAATTGTTTTGCATCCAAATTGTAATGTCAGTGAGGCAGGTGCTGAGCTGGGAGTGTGTGGTTGGAGAAATTGATTTTGTTGAGAGGTAGAGCTACGTGTCATCAGCATAACAGTGGAACTGGAGTTGGTGTTGATGGAGGATTTGTCCAATTGGGAGGATGTAGATGATGAACAGAAGGGGACCAAGTACATAACCCTGAGGGACGTCATGATTGACGGGGGCTGTGGGGGATTTGGAGTTGTTAATGGAGATGAATTGATATCTGTCAGAGAGATAGGATTTAAGCCAGGAGAGGGCAGTACCGGGAATGCCAATGGAAGACTGGAGGCGGTTGATGAGGATGGAATGGTTGATCGTGTCAAATGCGGCTGTTAGGTCAAGGAGAATGAGAATTGAGAGGGAACCAGAGTCAGCAGAGAGGAGAATGTCGTTGGTCACCTTGAGTAGGGCAGATTCTGTGCTGTGGCGAGTACGGAAACCAGATTGAAAAGGTTCATGAAGGTTATTGCAGTCCAGATGGGATTTTAGTTGGGAGGCAACAGTTCGCTCCAGAATTTTGACAGGAATGGGAGGTTAGAGATGGGCCGGTAGTTATTGAGGGAATCAGGGTTGAGACCAGGTGTTTTGAGTATGGGAGTGACAGCAGCGAGTTTCAGATCAGGGGGGACGAGTCCAGTGGACAGAGAGGAGTTAATGACTGGTGATAAGATGAGTGAGTTGGGGGAGGCAGGCCTTGAAAAGGATGGAGGGCATGGGGTCCAGGATGGAAGTTGAGGTATTTATGCCGGTGACTTGGGCAACTATGTCCAGTGAGGTAATTTGTCTGAAGGCTGTAAAAGGGTGCCTGGAAGGAGGAAGGTAGGCAGGTTCCGGAAAAGGATGGGTGGTGGACGAGACGGAGGAGTTGGCTATGTTGCTGTGTATTATTTCAATTTTGCTTTGGAGGAATGAGAGGAAGGATTCACACTTTGAGGTGGTGAAGGAGTTGGAGATATTATCCATGGGGTTGAGGAGCTTGTTAATAGTTGAAAAAAGGGACTTTGGGTTATTGCTCTGAATGTTGTCCACAGCGTTGATCACCCACCTGGCTGCAGCAGAGTCTCGCTGTGTGAAGCTGGAGCAACAGCTGGATCACATGAAGAAGATGCTGCGCAGCGCCAAGGCTGACGGGACCAGCCTGCTCAAACAGCAGGTTGACACAGTTCCTTGTATTCTTTGAAATAAGATAAATCTTATTAAAAAAAATTGTTTACACAAACACACTAAAAACCCTCATCCTTAAATGCAGTATTCTTGAGTAAAAGCATCTTATGTGTATTGTGTTATGTACTGAATTTCTCTCTACATTTTCAGGTTCCCGTCGAGACAGCCACGTCAGCTGATCCACATTGTGGCACAGAGTCTGAGCATGCCCAGTTAGAGAAGCTGGAGCGACTGGAGCAGGAGTATTTCAGGCTGACACGCACCCAAAACAATGCTTCGGTACGGAAAAGCACACAGTTAAATGTTTCCTAGAGTATATCATTGGTTAACATTTCTATGTACAGGTAGATGGAACAGGTCCTGAAGTTTACAGGTCTGCAAACAAATGAAAACAAAGCATTGATTATTGAAGGTTTTGTCAAAAGGCATACATTATTCAAGAATTTAGGCCCACTATTTGCAGGGTATGACAGGATGATGTAAAAAATGCTTAAATCTAAAGGGGGCAGTGATGAATAAAATGTAATCTTAATTGTTGGTATTGTTATGAATGATTACCACAATAATGATTATTACGTGTGTTTGATTACATCAGCGGAAAATTCGGAGGCTGGAAATGAAACTCCAGGAGGAGGAGCACCAGAGGAAGCTGGTCCAGGACAAGGCCAATCAGGTAACAAGGTCCTAATTTGTAATTTATCTTGAGCTGCCATTATTATAAACATTTTTTTACATTTTCTATGCCTGCTATTTTGTTTGTATGTTCCTCAGCTACAGACAGGTTTGGAGACCAACAGGATACTGCTGCAGTCGGTGTCACCTCACCTGTCTTCCAGTCAGTCAAAAGAGAAAAAGTCACATTCAAAGGTAAAGAACTAAATAGAGGTGGTTCAAGGCTTTCGAACTGTGTCCACTGAGAATGTTTTTTTTTCTCTCGGTTTTGTAAATGTTTAAACAAATGTGAAAAGGCGGTTGAAATCAAGTGTTTATCTATATTGTGGGTATATATATGTAAAGGTTATATTGAATCAAATAGAAACAAATTGGGTGCATTTCTAAGGATATCTTGATACATTCTTAAAATGATAAAAAGGAAAGAAACATTATTTTCTTGGTTTTTATTTGATGTATATTATTTGGTCGGAAAACAAAAGTCTGTTGAATATTTAAAACAGTAAATGATTGAATCATTAGCTTTGATAGATGTAGTGCTAATAAAACAATCCAGAGCTGTGTGCATACTTTATACTCCCAAATGTGCACTTCTCTTGTGGATCTTAATATTGTTTATGTCGATTTTCTCTTTCCAGAAATCTTCACCACAGCAGTCGTCTTTCACAGAGCCACACTATAGACTGAGCCTCAGGGATATTCCTTTTGTTGCTGGAACGGTAGGTTGGGCACATTAGCCTGTTTAGTGGATAAAGTGTTGGTTACAAATTGATTTATTTAATGCTGCACTTCCCTTACACTGGCTCTCTTCCTCCCATCTCCTTTCAGTCGGCCGGCTGCAGCCACTCGGTCCGAGCTAACGTCCAGTCCGTTTTGTCTCTCCTGAAGCGACACCAGCCTCAGCTCTGCAACAGCCGTGTCCTCTCCAACAGCTGTGAGACGGGGAGTGGGAGGCATTCAGACAGCTACTCCTCTTCCTCCTCTGGCAGTGGTGAAGAGCTGTCAGAGCTTCTTCAAGCACTGCACGAGGAGCTGCGACTTATGAGCGTGTGAGTGAACATATAAGATAATATACTTTATTGATCCCAAATTGGGGAAATGTTTCATTCCAGCAGCATGTAAAACAAGGCATTGCACATATTTGACCAGTTGACCGTGAAGATACAAATCTGTAAACTATTGACAAATAAAACAATATTGAAGGGCCAAATTACAGCTAACACAGTATATAAGTAGGATATTATTTACATTAAGTGTGCAATGAATGTCATATTAAATTAAATATGAATGTATAATGTGAAGTTATAAGTCCAGTTAACAAAAGATAAACTATGGAGCTGTGAGTTCTCTGCGAGCCAGGCGTGATGAGAGCTCTAAGGAAGTGACAAACTCGCTCAGATCAGTCATTAGCCCGCATAGTTTTTCATACCATTGCTACGCTGATGACACCCAATTCATTCTGTCCTTTCCCCGCTCAGAGACCCAGGTCGTCGCACGCATCTCTGCTTGTCTAGCTGACATCTCTCAGTGGATGTCTGCTCACCACCTCAAGCTCAACCTTGACAAGACTGAACTGCTTTTCCTTCCGGGAAAAGATTGTCCCACTCTTGACCTGACAATCAACATTGGCACCTCTGTTGTTTCCCCGACTCAGACTGCAAGGAATCTGGGTGTGATCCTAGATAACAAACTGTCCTTCACTGCAAACATCGCTGCTACAACCCGTTGCTGCAGATACACGCTTTACAACATCAGGAGGATACGTCCCCAGCTGACCCAGAAAGCCACGCAGGTTCTGGTCCAGACTCTCGTCATCTCACGCCTAGACTACTGCAACTCCCTCCTGGCTGGTCTACCTGCATGTGCCATCCGACCTCTGCAGCTCATCCAGAATGCAGCGGCTCGCCTGGTCTTCAACCTTCCTACATTTTCCCACACCACGCCGCTCCTCCGCTCCCTTCACTGGCTTCCGGTAACTGCTATAATCCACTTCAAAACAATGGTACTTGCGTACCATGCTGCGAATGGATCTGGCCCTTCCTACATCCAGGACATGGTTAAACCGTACACCCCAGCGCGTGCACTTCGCTCTGCATCAGCCAAACGGCTCGCTGCACCCGCACTGCGAGGGGGACCCAAGTTCCCATCAGCAAAAACACGTGGGTTTGCTATCATGGCTCCAAGATGGTGGAATGAGCTCCCCATTGAAATCAGGACAGCAGATAGCTTGCACATCTTCTAGGGCAGACTGAAAACTCATCTCTTTCGACTCCACTTCGAGCGATAGAGTTACTAACAAAGCACTTATATACTAATAAAGGGCTGGCTTATCTAAAGCCAGTTGAGTAGCACTTGAAATGTTTTAGCTCTATGAAACCTGGTGTACTTATATGATTCTGTTTTCTTCAAGGTTGTATCTTCCTGGTTGAATGTCCTTATTGTAAGTCGCTTTGGATAAAAGCATCAGCTAAATGCAATGTCATGTAATGTAATGGAAGTGATGAGCATAGTATTCAATGTTATCATTTGTTTTTGCTACAGAGAGCAGGAGGAGTTGATGAAGCAGGTGGAGGCGAGTGTTTCTACGCAGGAAAGAAAAGAACTCCAGCGGGAGCAGGAGAGGCTGCTGCTGAAAATGGAGAGGAAAGGAGAGCAGATCGGTCAACTCTACAAACACAAAACACAGGTAGGTCTTAAAGCAGAAACAATTCAGTTCACACAAGCAAACTAATTGCACTAAGATGTATATATATTTGACCTTTTCTCGTCTCTCCTCTAGATAAAAAAGTTAAGAAAAGAAAGTAACTCCAGGCAGAACAGAGGGAACGAGGTGAGAGGGACGACCACAGTTTCCACCAGAGGTCGCTCAGCTGCAGTGAGACCAGGAGAGAGGAGCCAGAGCAACCTGAGGCTGCTGAGGGACATGAGGGCTCTGCAGACCTCCCTGTGGACCTGACACTCAGCAGGACGGAACACACACAGAACCCTAAACTAATCCTGTCAGTGCTATCTACCTACCTTTGGTCGTATATGGGAACCATCCACACAGTCCCTGACAGATTATAACTAAAGAATATCCCTTCATGAACATATGAGCTATGATCCCTTGTGGAAAATATATTTTTTACTGTTTGAGCAACATGCAACAGATCCAAAAAGTCTGGTTTTAAACCAGACGGATGTTTATACCAGTCCACCCAAAGTGTATTTTATCCCAAAAAATAAAAGAGGGGGCTTTAACTTGTAATTTACTCATTCTTTATAAATACCTCAGAAGAAACTATATTTGTGTTCATGGAGCATGTCTGCTAAAACATTTTGGCTACATCCGTTTTCTTTTTAAATTAACTCCTTCACCAGCAGAGGGCATACTAGTTATAGTTACAGCTTCACTATCCTAAAAGTGAACTACCAAAAAGTGATGGAAACAGTTTTTGATTTTTTTCTTGTAGTGCTTTTGGGCTTGGAAATATATTTTACACTAATAGGATATCAGTAATATATATTTTTTAAATTATTGGTGTTAAAAGATTCCTGGGTTTCTTAATAGTTACACATCATAAATAGTGCAGCAGCCTTTAGCGTTGTAAAGTTATGAAATGCTTTAATCGATATTACTGTATGTGAATTACCTACTGTGTTGAAGGACCTAAAATACACTGTGATGTACTTTATTGCCGTCTCTCTTTATGTGTGTATAGTGTGTACACACATGTTGTATGTTATGATTATAACATTTGTCATTATTTATACATAGATATAGACGGATCAGCTTTTTACTCTCGCAAGGATCCTGGAGGGGGCCTGGGAGTACGCTTATCCGGTCTACATGTGTTTTGTAGACTTGGAGAAGACGTATGACCGAGTTCCCAGGGAGTTACTGTGGGAGGTGCTGCGGGAGTATGGGGTGAGGGTATCTCTACTCAGGGCCATCCAATCTCTGTACTCCCAAAGCGAGAGCTGTGTCCGGGCCCTCGGCAGTAAGTCGGACCCATTTCCGGTGAGGGTTTCCTCCGCCAGGGCTGCGCTTTGTCACCAATCCTGTTTTAATATACATGGATCGGATTTTGAGGCGTAGTCGTGGGGGAGGGGGTCTGCAGTTCGGTGGACTAAGGATTGCACCACTGCTTTTTGCAGATGATGTGGTTTCTAATGGCTTCATCGGTCTGCGACCTTCAGCACTCACTGGATCGGTTCGCAACCGAGTGTGAAGCGGCTGGGATGAGGATCAGCACCTCCAAATCTGAGGCCATGGACTGTCCACTCCAAGTAGGGAATGAGTCCTTACCCCAAGTGAAGGAGTTCAAGTATCTCGGGGTCTTGTTCTCGAGTGAGGGAACAATGGAGCGTGAGATGGGCCGGAGAATCGGAGCAGCGGGAGCGGTACTGCAGTCGCTTTACCGCACCGTTGTGACGAAAAGGGAGCTGAGCCAGAAGGCAAAGCTCTCTGTCTTCCGGGCCATTTTCGTTCCTACGCTCACCTATGGTCATGAAGGATGGGTCATGACCGAAAGAACGATATCGCGGATACAAGCGGCCGAGATGGGTTTTCTCCGCAGGGTGGCTGGTGTCTCCCTTAGGGATAAGGTGAGAAGTTCAGTCATCCGGGAGGGACTCAGAGTTGAACTGCTCCTCCTTCGCGTCGAAAGGAGCCAGTTGAGGTGGTTCGGGCACCTAGTTAGGGGTGCCACCTGGGCGCCTCCCTAGGGAGGTGTTCCAGGCACGTCCAGCTGGGAAGAGACCAAGGGGTAGACCTAGGACCAGGTGGAGGGATTATATCTCTTCGCTGGCCTGGGAGCGCCTTGGGATCCCCCAGTCAGTGCTGGTTGATGTGGCCAGTTTGGGGCTCTGCTGGAACTGCTACCCCCGCGACCCGACCACGGATAAGCGGGAGAAGATGGATGGATGGATTATTTATACATTATGCAAGCAGATTTTAATATTTTTGGAAAATCATGGGTACATGTTTTTGAGTGGAAAAAGTATTTCTCTGAGTTATGAAGTATTTATGTTTGCATATGTCTACAGTACTGTTTTGTGTTGTTTTTGTTTTGGCAAACAGCATTAGCACATTGCTTTTTATTCAAGATATTCCAGATATTCCTTGAACCTGTACCCTGCTGTGCTCCTGTTGGGCTCTTTTGCTTTGACATAATTGTCTTTTTTTACCTTTGATGCTGGTAACATGGACCACCATCATTACTTCAGGAGACATCAGACCATAATAAAATCATAAGGATTTTAAAACACATTTTCTGCTGATTTTTTACCAAAAACCTTTATGATTAATTACTTTCTTCAAGACTACATTTAGCTTTATACCTTCTAGCAAACCAATGTTATTCATTGGAAGACAAAAACAATACCGCTGCAATGATAGTGTAGGCCACTTAAAACATTTAAAATAAGACATAACTGTAAATCCAATAATTATTGCATCACTTTCTAGTGTTTCTTTTTTTCTTCATTTATTATAATTTGAAAAACATGTTGGACGTTGTCTTAGCGACAGTGAAACAAAAGCTGGTTACGTCTGCCATGGAAACCAATCAAAGCAAATATAGAGATGGTTAAAAATGACGAATGGCTGATTGATATAGAAGACTCATAAAAGGTGCAGCATATTTTACTCATGCCAATGCTCTTGAGCAGCAGTCATAGAAAAATAGCTTTTGTGTAGATGGTATCATTCTCACTTTGAATTACATCAGATTCTTCGATTCTCTGCATTGTCAATGTTTCTCTTAAGTAAATATTGACAATTTTTGCTGTAGCAAATACAATGTTACATTAATGTAGGCTGTGTGCTTTGCGTGTGGGTGTATGTTATTATTAATATCAAATATTGTGATAAACTACCAATATGTTTTACGAGCACAGAAGGTGAACATTATTAAGTTATGTGGCTTAAATATGAACTCTACAGTTTATCAAAGGAGAGGTAAAAAGGCACTTTAAACTTTACTTCTTGTGAGCACGGCACAAAAAGTAGTTGTACATCCAGTTAAAAATACTTCATGTTACAGTTTTATGTTATATTGTAATGGTAACTATAAATGAATTATAAATGTGCCAAAAATAATCAACAGAACTGCGTATATCACATGTTAACATTTATAGTATTATGACTGTATAAGGTGCCTTAGCCTAAATGTTCATGTTAATATGCCAAACTATATACGATATATTTACAAAGAGATTTCCATACATGAAAGTAGATACTACTGTGTTACATGTACCAAAACAAAATTCAGTTTTGAGGATCACGGCTAAGAAAGAGATCACATGTTTATACACACGTGACCCATTGACAACCCATATGTGAAAATAAACAAAGGTAAATAACTAATGAGTCTGATGTTGCTCACAAAGCCTTAGTCACTGACCAAAACTGTCCGTAAATGACCCGTCACCTGCAGGTGTGTCACTTTGAAACGTCACCCGGTCAGGTGAGCAGTACAGACATAGGATCCTCGCCGCAGAGGGCCCCGTGTCTCATCACTGTTAACCCGGCCCGGATTGCAATGGCCGGATGAAAACAACACCTGTAACCAAAGTCTTCTGTTTGTGTGGTCAGGTGTGATAAAATCGGTCTGCTGGCTCAATCATTAAGAGCCCAATCCACACTGACCTAAAGGAAAAAGCTAACCTCAGTTCATGGGTGCACATTGGTCCATATCCAAGGTCTTAAAAAGCTCTGCTTCCCTCAGGAATCTGTCTCAGTTATGGGAGCCAGCTCGGTGAATTTTGGCTCCTCCTGTTGTTTGGTCAGAACTGGCCTGTTTGTATAAATGTCATCCACAGGTAGAAGAAACGTGACAGTTTTTACCTTGGCCCTAAAAGGTCAAAGAAATCAAAATTGTTATGTAGCAACAGAACTGCAACTTAGCAAACATTGTATAGTTATAGACAATGGACCTTGTATATTTGAACTGGGGAGAACTTTGAAAAACCTCCAATTCAAAACACATTTCACATTTCAATATCTACATTCCTGAAATGAAAAGTGCAGAAGATAGCTGTGCTCACCTGTTTTTGTGTACATATTCCTGCAGGGAGTGTCTGTTGGTAGCTTTTCCCACTTCTTCCATCGCCGAGTTACCAAAGATGCCATTACCATGCTGGATTTCTCCTTGTAGTCTTCCCCATCCAGAGTCACTGGGCTGTGCCCCGTCAGTCCTTCCCTCCGTCATGGTCACACCAGACAGGTTGGAGCTGATGGAGTACCTTCGGACAGTCATGACGGTGTTCTCTGTGAAATAAGAGATTGTGTGTTGGCATTTATCAATTTCAACAGTGCAGGGATAGATATGGGAAGTTGTGATGTCCAATTTAAATTTCGGGTTTAATATTTCCCCATGCCTCTTTAATGACATATCTTTCTACTCACATTTAAAAATGTAACTTTTTTGTCAAAAAAAAAGGAAATAATATTATTTTTTACATCTTGCTGTGCATTGCAAGTTAATTTCTTTAAACATTTTTCAATAAAGATGCTACTGAATTGCAAAAATGAGAATAGGATTTAGTGTTTTTGCTGGACAAATCTATGCTCTTGCTCCTCAGATTTGGAGTATTCTTCATTTTTTTTTAAAAAGTGTTGTATGCTGAATCACTGGAGTGTCCCTTCATAACAGCCCCCACCCCCTTCCTTTATTAATCAGTTAATGTAAATTACAAAACGGGTTGTTGCTGTTCTGACAAGTTTAAAGCACCTGTGTTGTAAAAGGCTTTTTCTTACCTTTGTACTGTCCCTCCAGAACTGGCGCAGACGCATTGCGCCTCAGGTTCACATACGGGTTCTCCACCCGCTGCCCTGCTGCTGAAAACCCCAGCCTGGCTTCCCCCTGCTTGGCCCCATATGCCCGCTGACCGGAGTCTCCCATGGAGTCTTCCCGCAGCTCGCGGTTCTCGGCCTCCAGCTTCTGGATGTCCTCGCGCATCTCCATGATAACCTGCGCCAGGCTGCGCGTGCTCTCCATGGCGCTGCTGCTGCGCTGCCAGTACCACGGCTTCCCAAACACCGGAGGGCAGTCGTGCAGGAGAAGCTCTCCGCGCTGCTGGGGTTTTAACATTTTTGCTCCCAGAAGTTGTTGTGGTCCTCCCTCTGTCTTTCTCTACTGTGTGCTCCTCAATCTCAGTCCAGATCTTGTTCTGGGGAGATTATGTCGCCTTTCACCACTTATACAGCTGAAAGGGCTCCGGTGATCAGCCAGCAGCACACAGAGGATGTTTTATTCATCAGCCCCGGCGTCCTGTTTCAGGAAAACTAAGCAGGGGTCGGAAATGAAATGTGCACTGCGCTGGAGCTTGAGTGGCGGGAGACCTAGCTACTAAACCTGCAGGTTCTGTGAAATAATTCGCGTTTATGAAAACATCTGGCCCTACAAAATATACAAAACTCTTTGTTATAGCTCAAATGAAGATTTGGTAGATCAGATTTGTCTGGGCACCTCACTCTTCCTCTTGTAATGCCCATGTCTATGTTGGGATTACAATATCCTTCCTCTAAAATATTGATTACACCTGTCAGCAAAGATAAATCTTGGAAAGAAACTGAGAAAGTATCAGAATTCCTTCTGATCTGATTGTTTTTTAGAAGATCATCCAACAAGACCAAAAAGCTATAGGGCACATTGATTAATTGTAATCTGATCAAATGTAGATTGAATTTCTGTCTTTTAAAATTCACATTTATACATGCGGGAGCCCGTAATGTTAAAAAACATTTATGGATAGGTAGGCCTTTCATTTAAGTCTAACACATGTCTTTGATAAACGTTAAGGTCAGGAGGTCAACCCAAAGATGTCTTGGAAAGAAAATACATGAAGACAGAAGGGGGCTTCGATTAAAAATAAGAGAAGGAATCATGCAACAGATATCAAATACAGGCAGGCTGCACACACAGAGAAAATGACAGATAATGACGCTCAGTGGGGTCTCCACACACAGGGAAGAATGGTCAGGTTCCCATGAGCCCAGACAGTCTCTGAGCACACCAGTGACACACAAATACTTTTAAATCAAGTAAAAACAAATTATGAAATATTGTCAGAAGAGCTGTTGGCTACCAGGGAGCAGGTTTGAACCATGTTGTCGTGTGTGACCATGGTCTGAATTGTTCTGGTTCAAAGCAACCTGACCCCGCCACAGTGAAGGCCACATGGCGGGAGACAGGCGTACACAAGCCTGTCTGTACAGGAGAGAAACCCAATCAGCCCCCTTTCTGGTTCACAAAATAGGCTACAGAGAGGGAGGGAGGAGGTAGAGATGAGACAGAGGAGGAGCAAAATACTGATCAGCTGGAGTTTGAGAAGAAGAGGTAGGAGGTCAGTGAAACTCAATCTGCTCCACCTCAGGTGTGCGACCACAGAGGGAGAGTGAAGAGACACTCATATGAATGTGTCAGCTGTCTTGTCAGGCTGAGATAAAAACAGAAAAGTGAGAGACAGAGGGCCACATGCAGTCTCTTACTACCAGCTGTATGTTCAGGGCCACTTAACCTCTTTTTATGCAGTGCCCTAACCTCAGGCTTAGCATCAATAACTAAACAACCACTCTGCTGCCTGCGCGCTGCATGGTCAGTAATTATACCCAACTATTGGAAAAAAGTGTCACCAGATCCAATGGAAAACTGCTCTGTGTCAGTCATTTCACTTTCAGTGAAACCTCAACCTCATGTACTGTAAGTATTGTAATGTAAGTGTCTTTAGTCTGGAACCACAGATGGTAACATGCAGTCAGATTAACAGACCATGAACACTGCAGACAAAACTGTGACAGTGCAGAACACACCAAGGGTCATTCTAGTATAGACTAGTTACAAAAACGGTGTAAGAAAGTGTAAGAAATGGGGCTAGTATGCCAAAAAACAACACCTAACCCAAAGTGACAAAATTAAAATGAGTAGCAACCCTGAGGTTAGGAATCATCAATCATACATTTTGGACATTAACAAAATTTTATTTAAATGTTATACATAAAACTTTAGTTTTGTTTCTTTTTTTCAGCTAAACAAATATTCATATATTGTATATTTTATAAAAAGAAAAAATGCAAACGTTTTAAATATTAATATTTCTTATTTACAATTCAAAACAGTACAGGAAATAATAACAGTAACAATGCAATTGGAATCATAAAAATGTTACAAAACATAATTTGTTTTGTTTCCGTTTGAAAATCGGGAAGGTGATATATCCAGAACATTAGCAAGGATACAAAGTAGCAATGTGGAGCTGCTCTACATTCATACAGGAACTGGAGGTGCGTTCAACTCTTCAGATGCTTCGTTAGTTAGAAAACCTGTAATCAAATATTCTTTTGTTCACATCAGTAATCTTACAATATCTCTTAAGATAGTGTAAAGTACAATGATATCCACAGGAAAAAATCCAAAAACTGTCATCAAAATGCACCGGAGAAGTATATGTTACATAAAGCTGAACGCACCTCAAGCTCAGTAAGGTCACTGTTCTCTAAAGGGACGGGGTTGTGGAGAGAAGGCGCATGTTGTTTGTGTGAACATATGCACTTTGTGTACTTGTTTGTGAGTGTGTTTGTCAGTATGTAAGCTGATGAATCAGTTGGCAGGGCGGGGGATCGAGTCTTCAAAACAAACAGTAGCTAACAGTCCAGCAGCCTGGCCTCTACCGACGATAGTCAACGTTCAACCACAGGACTACTATCACGACCACAGTCTACACACTTCTTTCCTTATTTTCTCTGAACTCACCATCAGGCACAGTTCCACTAGCCTGCCGCTTGTTACAGCAGGAAACAACTACAGTCAGAAAAAAGAAAATAAGCCACTTATGAAGCTCAAACTGGCACAATGGATTTTTTGAGAGTCTATTGGCCATTCAGTAGGCGCTGTGCCGTTCCGTTCCTGGTTGTCTTGTGTGAGGAATCTGCAGAAGAAGAGTAAAAAAGCTTGCATTGGAACAGGAAAATGTGAAAGTAGGGCATCAGGCTTGCAGTTTGGCTACGATAATGAAGAAAGATAAAGTGGGATAAGCAAGTAGCAAGGTGACGATGTATTTTATGAAGGAGGTTGATGAAATGACATACCAGTCTTAGAAAGAGTGGACAGAGAGCTGTTAGAGAGAGAGGAGGTACTGGCAGCATGAACACTTTTGTGTAGCTGAAATGAGAGAAAAAGTTGGAAAGGAAGTACAGGCAACTATGAAGTAAAAACAGAAGCTGATACACATGGAATGCACAGGAAGAGAGGATGCTCATTATGTCCTGCAGATGGATAAGTAAAAAACAACAACAATGTGGTGGTTGTATATGTCAGGACACTCATTGGTTTCAGAGTGAGACCTGTTCATTCATGATGCCAGACAGCTCAGTCAGCATGTCCCGGTAGTGAGCTCTCATCTCCTCCTGGTACTCCAGCTGGTCCTCCTTGATCAGGCGCTCATTCACATTCAGTGCCTGACCGCAGGCTTCTGCAAACTGCCTGCAGGGGGCAAACGAGTTGTACTGATTATTAATCACGTCATTGAACTGACCTTTAAGCGGTACGTTTTTTTCTTGAGATTACATTTTGAAAGAAGCTTTTGTGTGATGGTTGTTTTTTACAATGTAAGAGTCAACATTTTGTGGAAGATATATAAATCCTCATGAGCAAAACAACAAAAATCAAATAAGAACTACACTTTATGAAGGAATTCTATAACTTTCCTGTACATTGTTTTCACATGTATTTGAGAAAGTGTTCTTTTATTATCAGTGTTGCAAATAATACCCTTCACATTGATTTTTAATACTCTGGGTGAGAATCTTTATCGTAAAAATCTGGTTCATTTGTTTTCATTGGCTATTGGATCGGTTTTAGATAAAAATTATAAAAACATGTTTAATTGAGCATCATGGGTTTGGGATATATAAGAGTGGTATCATATTGCATTTTACACCCTAAGGGTTAACACCTCAAATCCAATCACTGCCCTATAAGAACAAGATCAATGTCTTTTTATATTAGTGCACTATTTGCTTTTCTTTTTATTTCTCATATTTTCGATCCGACATCATTTTGTCCTTATTATGTCCATATCCTTGTTTGCTTGGCATGATGTTGTATACCAAGCAACAAAGCTGTTCTATGTTTAAAGAATATGCTGTTGTATCGGCCAGTTTTACAGTGCACAATATATACCTACTTTGTTATATTAGGACCACATTTCCCAACTTTTAATCGTACCTGAAGATCTCCTTGAGCAGTTTGACCTGGTTGTCTGGGTATTTCTTGGCATTCTTCTCCTCTAAAAACGCCCTGGCGTAGGCCATGGGCCCTGCATTCACCTGGAAAGGGAAACATCAGGTGAGAAATTACAAGGCACCCAAACCCCCTGATAATCTGTGTTGTGGAAGAACCCCCACCTTGACGCTGACGCTGCCCTGCAGTTTCAGCTGCAGCCGGATCATGTCCACCTCCTCCATGTTGCACAGCTGGTTGAGCTCAGATACTTTTCGTGACATCTCATCGATGGCCACCTCAATCGGGTTCATTTCTGTGCTCTGCTGCTCCACCACCTGGATACGCTTCTTCAGGTAGGGGAAACTGGAACTCGCTAAAGAGAGACATAGTAACCCATGGATTAAAACAACTCTACATTGTGTGTTACATGGTGTTTTTGTTTGTGGTAAACAAATACTTACTGGTCAGTATGGTGCGTCTCTTGCACTGCTCCTCTACGTCTCCATGTTTCTTCCCTAACAGAGTGAACGGCGTCTCAAACACAAAGCGGTTGATGTTGTGATGTCTCTCAAAGTCTGTCCTTTTGTCCTGTTGTTCTTTCTCATCAAAGAAGGGCACCACGTACGTCACCTGAATGTAGGCAAACTTGGGGTCGATGTCTTTAGGATTTACCTGTTTTTAAAGAATGTGAAGCAAACAATAGTAAATATACTTAGTTTGCCAAAAAAGACCCACAGTAAACGAACATTTTACACAATCACAAGTTATTGCGATTATATTGCAAATTTGTCTGGCATCTTTGTTAATGTCTAAACAAACAACCTTCATACCTTATTGGAGTCCTGTATCATCTTGACATTGTCAGCTCCAAACTTGTCCGAGTAGAGTTTGAGGAGTCTCTGCGAGATTTCCGACAGCCCTGTCAGCTTCGGCTCTTTGTAGATAAACTCTTTGCTCTCCTCTTCCTCAAAGAAACCCTACAGGAACACATACACAGCAAACATAGCTTAGCATGCCTGTTAATTATATGTGTAAGTATGTGTGTGCAAATGTAATCTTTGAATGTGGTTTTTGCTGTCACATCAAACTGTACACATGCCAGTGTGACTTAATGTTGCCCCTAGAGGTTTCTTGAGCCACTATTGTACAAACAGGCTGTAACACTTGTGAGCAAAACCTGGCCCTGACAAGGTGTTTAGTTCTGGATGGGAGAGTTCAGAGGTCATATTCAAAGCAGCATTTGAGGCAAATGTCAAAGGTGAATGAGGTTTATTCCTGTCCACTGTGGCTGTTTGAAAAAAGCTAGTATTTATGTTTAGGAGGGAAAAACGTCATCATTGGAGATTATGGGAAGTAGAATAGCACAGCAAGCTTGACACAAACCCTTCAATGGGTAAGAGCAGCGGATGTTAATAGTGGTAGAAGGAGAAGAGAGGTAAAAGTGGTTAGCATCGAGGAAAATGGAAAATCAAAGACGTACAAAACTTACCGCAATCTTGATATAGAATATAATAAAAAAAGGAAGAAAAGAGCAGACAGAGAAATTAAGGACACTGACTCAGTGAGGAATCTTTCTCGTTATGCTCCATCTCCACGCTTCACTGATGAGACGTTGCATCTCTCTCCTCTTTTTTCCAATGGTGAGAGGATTTCATATTCTCATTATCGGCTTTTTTAATTCTTTCTTCACTTCATGGCTCTCAAATCCCTGCCTGGAAATAGTATCCCCTCATTAACAAGGAAACTGTGTCAAGGATGCAGGTTCTTAAAAAACAAGCCTGAACTGCACTGTGCTTCTTTCTCTAATAATGCCAGGGATTCAAGGATAATAATATCATATATGCTTATGCAAAATCTAAAGAATTAGTTCATCCAAATTAAAAGAACATTTTCCCACTTATCTCTAGTGACATCTCGCTCTACATATATATTTGTTTTGTTCCAGAGGTGTTAATAACTTTACCAGACTTCTTTCGTCCTGTGTTTTTGTTTATAATAGTAACATTGTTTATAAAAAATAAGTCTTTCAGTTGAGTCACGGTCAAATCGTCGGCTGCAGCTTTTTGGTAACTGTTGTTTTGCATTGGTTTAAGCGATGTGTGTGTGCAGACGTGTCTGTGTAAGTGTGTGCCACGATGAGTTGTCGCTCACCTGTCCGTAGAAAGCTACACGGTAGTAGCGACCGAAGAGTCGCTTTTCTGAGTTCACCACCTCAGTCACCTTCAGGTAGGAGCGATGGATGTCGTAGTACAGCTCTGACAGCCTCTGCGGTCAAACACCAACACACATGTGAGGTTAGGCTCAATATATACTCACACACAAACACACACAGGGTATAAGTGTTAACAGTTACCTTAAAATCCCTTCTCTTTTCAAAGACAGCAATCACAGGTTTGTTGATGTCAGCGATGAGCTCGTATCTCTCTGATTTCCACAGGTAGTCCACACACAGCTCCAGCTGCTCCACCAGAGTGTCCTACACAGCGCACCAGGATACATGTTAGAGAGAAACACTGCAACTCAGTCGTAACAGGGCATTTTTCTCAAAACTGCAGTAATGGTTATGATCATTAACCGTAGTGTCCGTGGGTTTTTCGACTGACAAAACAAGACATTTAGGGCATCTTGGATTTTGAGAAATCAGGAGCCCTTATCACAACACTTTTAGGATGGAAGGCTAACACTGACCTCTGTATATGGTGTGTCTTGTGTCCCAGTGTCTTCCTTCATGGCCCCCTCCTCCTTGACATTGGGGCTGATGCACATGAACGCTGCCCAGCCCATGGAGAACGACGCTGGGGTTATAAACAATGGAAGTGACATGAAGGCAGGTAAAAGGATACCAACTTACCCTACAGTTATGTTCAGCCTGTTATCATACTGAAACACAAACATCTTTGTATAAAATACAATCAAGCATTTTACATAAATCATACCATTTGTGTAGACTAAATTAAAAACATAAAAAGTGAGCATGCTTCTTATCAAACTCCAGTCGCACTGAACATCATCTCCTGTGAGTGAACCGTGCAGGTCAAACAGTGACAGTGATTAGTGATAACCAGCACAGTATCATATCATTTAGGCAAGAACAGCGGTCCAAACTGAACTGCACGGTGTTGAAAACCTGAAATGGTAACGATTTTAACTGGAACCGGACTCGATGTCCCTTCGATCCAAACCATGTCCACCTGTGAGTATGAACACTTTCCACAAAATTGGAAGGAGTTTAAACATTTCGTTGCACACCCACTCCCTCCCACACTCTTTTGTTTCTCCATCCTTTTGTTCTGAACTCCCACCACCCAGCTGGCCCCAGGCGCACACACTCACTGTCTTGATCTCGGGAGGTAGTTAGTAAGGAGCTACAGTTATAGACAGGGCTTTCTTCAGGGGACACACTGGACATCCTGGCCTTGTCAGCTCTCCAGTAGCCTGTTTGGTAGGAGGGGAGGAGGAGGACGAGGTTTACAAACTCCACTTGCTTTTGCCTTTAATGTTTAAGGACAAGGAGCAGGAATCGGCGAAGCTGCCGGCATGCTTTGATAACATTTGGCACACAGGCTTGGTGGATAAAAAGCATGCAAAAAGATGTCACACATGCGGCAGAAGATAAAAACATGCTGTAGTCTCAATGAGGAAGCACACTTAAAAGCAAACAGATTTACAGATAGAGGAACAGCCACACAGCAAAACATGTAGAAAACAGTTGTGATTGGGAAGAGTATTGAGATGCAAAGATAGATCTAGATTGACTAGTTCCTATTAATCTCACAGAAAGACACACTCAAGTCACCAGAGTGCTCACTTTCAGACACACATATTTAACCCCATGAAGAAATGAAGGACTGATGATTGAAAGTTTAAATGATTTGTAGATAGTTGTGATGATCGTGTTAGCAGAGAGAAAGAGAGGTTTGCTGATTGACGGAAGACGGCTGTGATCGGACTTTCTGATTAGAAGTTATGGTAACTTTTAATCAGAAAAATGTATAGATGCACAACTGCAAGAATTAGAAAGAAAGATACACGTAAACACTTTCAAACCATGCTGCAAAAAGTAAAAGCAGCAACATGTGTGCACTAACCTCTTCTCTTCAGGGATTCAGCAATAAGGGCTGAGATGTGGATGTAGCACATGGCAGCCTAAAGGAACGTCAGACTCATTAATATCATATTGAATTCATACTTCAATCCAAAATAGCTATTTGTGAAGTCTCTTAAGCAAGAGTTCCATGAAAGGTTTATAACCTCTGAGAGATCGCCGTTGCGGACGTGAACTTTAGCCATGCTCTCCAGCCAGGTGCATCGAAGCTCGGGCGTGCTGGCGTAGGAGTTAGCCAGACTGTACTGGAGATCCACCAGCATCTCCGGATCCTTCTCATGCTCCTTCATTTGGGCTGTGGCCATCAGAACCGTCCTGATCCGTTTGGTCAGGTCCTTCACCTCAGCAGGGAATGGAGTGTTCTGCAGAAATAAGAATGATCTCCATTCATTTTTTATATCTAAGAAAAGAGAATGAAATAGCACCACAAACAATTATAACAAATCTGCCACATTTCGCTTTAATCTGCTATACCTTGAGTGGTGCATCTCCGTTGGCAAAGTTATTGATGATAGCCAGAGACTGCTGAAATCTGGAGCCTCCAATGCCAGCATCTGCTATCAACTGGCTCACTGCCTTGATGACCTGATGTGGATGTACGAGTATGTGGTGAGGACACTGTTACACCAAATCCATGATTAAAAAAACACACAGTACAGATAGGATAATTGGTCTCACTGACCTGCAGATGTGAGCGGACTATAGACTTGCCCTTTGTAAACTCAAAGTTTTTTCTCATGAAAAAATACAGCAGGGCAGCGGCCTCCGTCTGGGTGGAGCTGGAGCGATGGTTACAGCACTTGAGGATCTCGTAGCACAGACAGCCACACAGGTCTGCCTTACCCTGGAAGAATGCACTGGGGAACTGCATGTACAGAAAGAGATGACGGATGAAGATTAGAAAAACTATTTAAATTTGTACTTAGATGTTGTATGATAAAATGAAGCTTGCAGGACCTTTTGTACAAAGAGCCTGAGTCCAGCGAAGATATGCCGTAGAGTGGCCGTTGATTGGTTGATCTGAAAGAAGAGCAAGTAGGTGTCCAGCACCTTCTTCATCAGTACATTTTGTCCATCATCCAGCAACAGCTGCTTCTGTATGGGTTGATTAGAGAAGAAAAACAATACATGTTACCATCAAAGTTTCAACAGGCAAGTTTATTTTATCTAACTGATTGGTTTCATGATTTTTTTTATAATTGTTTAGCCACCAGGTGGCAGTAAAGTAGCATTTCCTGGCTTTAGTGTGCATTGTAATTTATTCAAAATACGTTTTTCGATTTGTATTGACTATTTTTTTTTTTCATCAAGAAAATATGTAATTTAAAAAGTCCTTTTTAATGTTATAGTAACAAAGCCAATATATAACTTTACTATTGGATTTTTGACAAGAACAGTAATATGAAAGAATAGAGTAGAGCCAAAGGAATATGTTTGACACATTTAAACAGATATGTAGCATTTAATGTAATTGTCAATTTCAAAAACTAAGCCCAGAGCTCAGATTGAACATAAACATTCTTGATTTATTAAGTGTTTGGTGTGAAATGTAGTTTCATGCACAGACCTTGTGATGATGGACAAAGAGCTCCAGTACATCCAGCACAGTGAGGGCCACCTCGGTGGACATGTTTGCCTCAATATCTGTAGGACTCAGGGTGTCCCCATCCTGAATGTTCCCATCTGGAATCACAATCAACAAGAATCACTTAAATCCATCTCAGCACCTTTATATTGTGTTTGTGTTTGTGTTTGTGTGTGTGTGTTTGTGTGTGTGTGTGTGTGTGTGTGTGTGTGTGTGTGTGTGTGTGTGTGTGTGTGTGTGTGTGTGTGTGTGTGTGTGTGTGTGTGTGTGTGTGTGTGTGTATTTGTTACCTGTCTCCATCATATGCAGCAGCTTAGGGTTGTTGAGAGCATTCTTGCCCCTGATGATGGGCATGGTTTGGGAGCGGGCATGCCGGTGACCTTCCCCTCCTGACGCCATCCTGGAAGCAACAGCAGGGATCAGCGGATGGTGTCAATTACAGTTCCATCACACATTTAATTTAATCCTTGTTGTGTTTTTTTCAAAGAGCACATTTTAGCAGACCGTTTAATATAAATTGCATTCATGTCCCAAGGACATGCTGTTATTGGGAGACTATTAACACATGGGATTACAGAAACAGAGACTGGCATATCACACAAAACACTGCAGGTATGAGGAGGGGCATGCTGACAACACAGTTGCAGTCTATAACACACAGTGGTGACATCAATGATGAATATACACAGCAGAATAATGTATCTATGTACATCCAAGTGTTGTTGTACCTGTACCTGAGTTTCTGTTAAATAAAATATTTACATTTTGAGCCAATTACCAGACATCATTAGCATGAATAACAATTTCAGTAGAAGACTCTGTAATCAGTTTGAATCTGTCATCGTGGCTGAGGTGTTTTCCTGGAGGAGGGTGATTACCATTGTGGGAAGAGACTTGAGGGATGAGAGGACTGGGAGGGGTGGTTAGAGCCCTTCAGGGTGCCATTGGCGTGGGTGGACTGGGCCAGCTTTACTGCCGCTGCTAGCTTCCTGTTCACGAGCCAATCACATCAAAGCTAACATTAGTTAGTTTAGTCAAAGCTAACATTAGTGAGATTTGTTGAGACCGTCATTGTTTAGAGTCCATTATTAGTGTGATATTTGAACTATGTGTGGCATGTTAATAGTTGAATTTGCCTGCAATCAATAACATTTGACCAAAATAAACCAAGTGCAATACATGTTTGCACTTGTGACCTTGTTGCATATTTGTGGCAGCCAGGTCACATTGTATTCCTGTAATGCTAAAAGCAGATCTTCAATTTGACCTTGGCTTAATGAGAGCGGCTAAAGTCAGAGAGAAAGATCAAGAGGGAGGTCAGCCAAATGGAAAGGTTAGTGGCGTAGCAGAGTCAATAGCTTTAGTTTGCCATTAGTAGACTATTGTGTAATAATAATTAATGAACTCTAGGTAGAGTGTTAGTGGACAGAAAAAGCTTGAAGTCAGCATTAACAGTGGACAGCGAGGAGATTAGGATGTGGTGAAACCAACACGGTTAAGCTGCAGCGATCCAGCTTAGTAACAAACAGATGTTTGACATATATTCTCATGATTTTTGAATGAACAGCTATTGAAAAACCATGGCCAGTATACATAAAGCACATGTGGCTTTGGCCAGCCAAGAGAAGCAGGACACAACTGATGTGTAAGCCAATCGAAAACAACTGCTTTAGAGCTCGTTAAGCAGCAGGTGGAGGCCGGCGGTCATGAGACAGAGGACGACGTGCAACATCAATGAGACAAATGTGTAACAGGATGTTAAGAGCAAACAAAACATACAGCACCAACATAAACTACAATGCATAATGCAGAAAGGGTGACTTCATGCAACAGAACATCAATAAATGTGCAGTCAGTCACACTGACATCCATTAACAGCTGCAGCATGCAGAGTGCGAGGGCATGAGGCAGGCACTGTGGCAGAGACTAAAGCACAGGTTGAACATGTAGAATACATTACAATTCATAGTTATTAGCTTGTGTCGTGTAGTGTTTATTGCATCAACAAACGTGTGCATGTATCGTATTAAAAGTATACTGTAAAATATGGCTTAAGTTAAGGACGTGAGGCTCCCTGCACCAACTCAGAAAAAAACAGGACCAGTCAGAATATTGTGTTGAATTAAACCCACAGACTAAATTAAACCCAACCTACAAGATCACACAACTTCATTGAAAATGTTGAACTATTTGACTATATGTTTCATTACAAGGGTCATGTCATGTATATCCTTAATATTTGAATCAAACTGATGACAGTTGTGTGTTGGCTAGTGCCAATCTAATTTGATAAAAGCTGTTTCTTTTTTCTTGCGTTAACTTTAGGTCCTGCTTTAATCATCATTTAAATTCAAAGAGAAATTTGAAACCAAGTTTTCAGCAGGGGCTTAAATGACTGATTGTTGTGTGATAGGCTGGCTGACTGATTGTCCTCTGAGCTTGCTGGCTGGCTACACATTGCTAGTGTAATTCATCTCTCCTGAACTTCAATGGGTGCCAACACTGACTCAGCCAGGCATCAAAGAGCTAACAGAGAGAGACACTGAGACAGACACAGGCGTAAGACTGTGAATCCCCCCTGGCTTGGTATAACAGACGAATGTTAAGTAGCTAGCGGCCCCAGACAGGCTCATATGCGTCTGAGAGCGCTACCTAGGCTTCCAGCTATCTTTATTCTTTTAATGCCTGCACGCACAGAAAAGCAGTGTGTTCTTCTAGCCTTTTGATGGCCTACATCTCAGCATCCTATGCTGAAAGGAAAAATAGAGCTAATTTAATTAGCTGGGAGGAACCAGAAGATGGAGGAGTCTAGCGGTGCCAATGGCTCAGCTCCAGTAAGAAACACACACACACACACACACACACACACACACACACACACACACACACACACACACACACACACACACACACACAACACACACACACACACACACACGAGAACAACCCCCATCCTGTGCTTGCCAACTACTACAGTAGAATATCCAGCAGTGCTTTTTTCCCTAACAGCAGGATCCAGGAGTCCCCCCTCCCCCTCTCTTCCTTTTCTTCCCCCCTTTACCTCTTCCCCTCTTGAAGCTCATCCCTGAGTGTGCACATGCATACAGAACACATATTAGTATTTCTGCCTGACTGTTTTGAATACATTTATTTGTGTGTGGTTGCATTTACACATTGTGCGTTCATGTGTTTGCATGATTATATGAATGATGCGGGTGGGGGGGTTACAACCTTTAGCTGTGGCATGTATGTTGAGTTAATAAGCGCTTTCCATAAATGCAGCATTATAATAATTGCAAGTGAATATATGACCTGGTCCACCTCTTTTTCGGAGAAAGCGTTAGGGAGCACAGACTCACCTGGCGATGTGACGTTTTCCCAGGAACCTGAAGTGCTGAAGACACAGCCTGAAGGAAGGGACAAAGCAACAATATCTTGGGTGAAGCTTTGCTTGTTTTTTTGTTTTGTAAGTTAAGAACATGGAATAAATGTGATCAAACTGAGTAGCAACAGAACAGTCTAGATGCTGACATAAACAGGAAACAGGCAGTTAATTAACTCCACTGTGGAGAAGGAGCTCATTGGAATAACAGTCTGTTTTTCATCTCTCTCTCTCTTGCTGTGTCATTACTTTCATCTGTTCCCTTCTAGCTACAGTCTTCTCATTTTGCCTTTTTTCTTCTTCTTTGTGCATAATATTTCTAGTCAGCCTTAAAGGACCTGTGGTAATACTGTTCAATGAAAAAGAAGAGGACTTACTCCAGGATGTTAAAGAAGTCGGAGATCTCCTGGTGAATGGCCCTGTGCCAGTAGGACACCAGCACATCTGGAGACAGGAATCAAAGACATCTTGTTACATACTATGGCAGATTTTCCCAGGGCCTGTCAAGTGTCCATTACAATGTATAGAATCAGTATTTCAATGCTGAAATGGCTGGCATGTTACAAAACTTAACAATATTTTGTGTTTAAATCTGCAAAATATATAGATATCTGAGGTTTGCTGTATTTTTATAATTTAATAAAAGATAAAAAATATCAACTATTGATTCAATCTTCTGGGCCTCTGTATTAGTATTAAGGTACACAATTCAAAAGAGCTCTGGACTGTACTTTCCTGTGTGAAACCTTGGTTTAAACATGTCTTACCCTCAGATATGGTTTTCATGATGTGCAAAAAGCACATGAGCAGACTGCGGGTCTCTGCCTGGTCCAGCTTGTCACAACGAGAACCGTAGCCTATGAGGGACTGCGGCCGTGCAAACTGAGAAGACAGAAACATCAGACAGAAATACAGTCAGAGATAAACTGCTAGTATATAATCTGTATCTAATGGTATCTACTGTGTATGCTTTAGCAACCTGTAGGCTAACTTAAGATAAAGTAACTTCAGCCTTAATTTCACTGCTTTAAGTCGAAACAATTATTGATAAATAAAGCTTTCAGCAATTCCTGACAATAGTTCAGGAAATTAGGAAAAGGTTGGGAAACATCATTAGGTACGATATACCTACATGTTGGGAAACTATTTCAATTAACTATTTAAATTAGTAACTTATTACCAGAAGTTACTAATTAAAAGAAATACATATATTTCAATTAAGGAGTGTATTTGTTGGAGTCTAGCCAAAATTATTTAAGGGTAAGGGAGGTCTATTTTTGTAATCAAAGGCTGCAGCATTTCTTCTTTCAAGTGCAATTTGTCCATCTCAATTATAAAGTAAAGTATAAAGTATGTTTAATCCTAAACTACCAGGACGCCCCAGGTTCGATGTTTCTTTAGCTGGTATTAGAGCAGCTTGTCTAACATCGGTGGTCTAAAATGGGAACCAATTACATATTTTTGCTGCATACAGCTCTTTTATAAATACATATGTATAAATAAATATAGATATTTTTGAAGAATGTATTAGATACGACCCACAGAGAGGAAGACACAGAGTATATTAAAACACAAACAATGTATCTACACAATTTAAATCGTTTTAAATCATCTGCCAGCAGCACCTCTGTCAGACCATGCGAGACGTGTGAGTAATACCACAGGAGCTGATGGCTCACCTTCTCACATCCGTCCATTTTCTCACTGTTCCTGTCGCTGTTGCTAGGGTTGGAGTCCACGCTGATCAGAGAACCCCGAGAGTCGGTCTGGTTACCCGTGGCAACTGCCAAGGAGGAGAAGGCTGGTTGGGTGGGGGGGGGATTCAGTAACAATGTCCTTATTCACACCTTTTCATAACCACACTAGAAATACATATACAGCTACACCCAAGCATGTCATACCTGTGATGGAGTTTAGAACTTCTTTAGAAAAGGATGCATCCACAGAGTTGCCATGGCGAGTAACGGGAATCACCCCTCCCGCCACTGCCCCTCCTACACTGAGGTCGTCTCGAGAGCCCTGGTGGGGGCGCGGACAGGGGAGAGGACTCATTTAGAGAAACATATTTGTTGCTCGATTTAAAAAAAATGTTTTACCAGAATCTTCATATTTTATTAGTTATAAGACCATGTTATTAATACTTTATGACATTATCCATGAAGGTAATCAACATAAAAAATGATCATACTTAAATTATTACTATTCTTTTCTATTTCCAAATGAAAGCAACATTCAACATGTATATTGATCGATCCACATTATTCATGAGCACACAGTTGTGTTTAAGTGTTGTGGAAATCAACATGAACTTGACCAAATGTAGGAATGAGCAGAGCTTTTGTTGTTGTATAAATGACAGGGTTAAGACCCACTATGCGTGTCCTAAAGTAAACTGTTGGAGTTTACATGTTCTGATAACTAACAAAAGGAGAACTGAAACTAACTAAATAAGAACAAACGCTGCAGAAATATGAATGATGCTGGTCACAGTTAATACATCCAGTATGCAGAGAGTCAATCAATCTTATCATCTTGACTCTTACTTGGTCACTTGAAGTGAAGTAGATGGGGAAGAGGTCCCTGAGGAAGAATCGAGGCATGTTGTCCAGGATCAGGCCATACAGAGGCAGGTACAGAGATGCAATTCTTGCCTGCTTTTCCTGGAAGGGAAGTCAAAGAAAAGGGTATAGCATTTAAAGGATGTGTGCACATTTTATATCCTGTAAAAAAAACTTGTAATACAACAAAGAACAACATGCAGTTTGAATTAAAAAGCTTGTAATGATACACTAAATACGTTTCCACAGCCAACCTACCCTGGCAAGAGATAAAACATGTATATCTTTACAGTATGTGGGTTGTCCATAGAAAACGTCAGTGCAGTTACATGATATTTAATATGTTCTGCCAACATGATTTGTAATTCTTTGGCAGACATTTGGTCTTGACTAGAGCCGTGCTGCTGTGTTGTGGTTGGCAGTATTTGGTTCTGTTTAACTGAGGACAAATTACTGCCTCGATCTGATCTGGACACTTCCCAGCATTCATCAAGAAATGGTCTCTGCCGCCTGCAGCTGCTACGAACAATCACATGTCAGTGTGTATGTGTGTGTGTGTGTGTGTGTGTGTGTGTGTGTGTGTGTGTGTGTGTGTGTGTGTGTGTGTGTGTGTGTGTGTGTGTGTGTGTGTGTGTGTGTGTGTGTGTGTGTTACGTATGAGTCACATTGGAAGAATGTCTACTGTTAGCCCATGACTCATTGTTCATGCCTTTTAGTTTTCACCCGTGTAAACATGTGTTCTGGCTACCTTGGTGGCATAGCGTGCATCCAGAGAGTGTTTGGCCATGAGAGTCTTCAAGGTGGCTAACGCAAGGTGTCTCAGGTCTTGCTCGTCCTGGAGGGCCAGCCCCAGTTCCCGTAGCAACAGGCCAGTCAGGAAGTGCTTCCTGCAGAACTCTCCGGTCAGGTTGTACTCGGGCACTGACACTGAGAAGGGATAAAAGATTCACTTCATTCATCCAATATTCGCTTTCCATCAGGGAGATAATGAATCCTTTTCTAAATAAAAATCTGGTGACAGTAAGCAAATAATGTGACAAGCCAATGTTCCATGGATTTCCTTATCATCACACCACTGTAGCACGCACGCACACTGAGGCGTGAGCACACAGACAAGAATGAGTGAACATATTTACCATGAGTACTTTGTGGCTCTGGGGATGAATGGTCTGACATGGACAAAAAGTCAGAGAAAATGACAGGATGAGAAAGAGAGAGAGAAAGACAGAGTGTTAATAGACAAATGAGAGTGAGAGCTACTGATGAATGAGTTACCACATTAACACGGTGTCAATGAGTTACAGGGTATGACTCGGGCTCTTACCTGCGATGCGAGCGGAGGGTAGCGGCAGGCTCAGAGGAATGTAGTGTTCGTGGTTACACACGTCTCTCAAGAATTCAAATTTCCGCTCACACAACACCTACCAGACACAAAAAAAAAGGTATTATTAAGTTGAATATGCATCTAGTTGCACATTTATATTGTTTTCTTGAATGTTGTTTTTACCTTGCTGTCAGTGGCAGTGATCATGTTTATATAGTTGCTTATGAGTTTGAATGTGAAGCCTCGGTCCATGAGAGTAAAGCAACGCTGTAAAGAAGCAGACAGAAAGATATGGGTCATTAAACACTAATGGAGGAATAAGTTGCTTTTAAGTGAATGATTAAAGGGTTTTCAATGATCGCTCCCAGAGAAACCACAGTATGTTTACATGTACTCACACTATTATGTTTATTTTCTCTTTAACATTATCCTTAAATCCATGATTAAACAACGCATTTTGCTCCCACCTTGACAAAAGCTGCTACGGCCAAGTTTGCGCTACGTGTCTCTTCTGCTAGATCTTTGTTTTTCCAGAAGATGTGTTCAGACACCGTCTCCACCAGGGTCTCCACGCGGCTCAGGTAGGATGAGGGGAAACGCTGGGGCCTCGGAAGCTGTAGTGACACAGAGTCAGCGTAAAACAATCATGCATTGTGTCCCATGTCAGATTATTTAAATTCAAAGAAACGTTGCTGTCCAAGTGTAGGCTTTCAGGAGCAGTAATATGCCACCTTACCTTGACCTTGTCAGAATCGTCCAGATTTTGGGCCATGGACTTCACAATCAGCTCAAAGAAGAACCACGAGAACTGAAACCAGGAGGGGTTCAATTAAGGTCAATCTTGCTCCAATTTTGTATAATCTGCTCCAGCTGACAACTGATTTATTTTCCCTGATTGACTATTCTTGAGGACCTTAGTAATAATTCAAATTGAAGTTTTCCATTTCATAATAACTAAACTGAAGCAAGTATGAAGAGAGAAACAAACCTTCAGGACGTTCCTGACTGCTGCCTGCTCATTGCTCTTCAGGTCAAAGGTCATCCCCTTAGCCAGCTCCTCGTGAACCGTCCTGAAGCCGTGGGCCTCTGACTTAAACACATACTACAAACAGGGAGAAAGGGAAACGAGTCAGTTACATGTGCATTCTTATAATTCTTTAATGATTTTGGAGCATTGATTTTTCCATTTCGGAGAAGCAACAGTAGAAAAATAACAGATGAGATTGATTGAAAGAAACTTAATTTGTTAATATTTTTATAGCAAAAAAGACATTAAAGAAACATTTTCTAGTTCTCCATTGAGATTATTAGCTGCTTTTCTTTGTCTTACACTTCAGTATGGGATATATTCCAGTTGTGGACGGTTTGTCAAGACATTAAAGGCCATTAGTCACAGCTGAAGTCACTGGCCCTAGGTACACAGGTTGCTCCAATCAGCTCATTACTGTTTTAATGAATCGATAAAATGGTTAAACAAATCAATAGGTTGAAAAGTGTCCTACGCAAACTAAAACTATAGTAGGGAATTATATGTATTTCTTCTCCAAAAAATTATAAACAAATAATGGATTTTGACAATTGATTTTCTATTTACCAGCGATTAGCTGGTAAATTGTGTTTAATGTTTCAGCTATTACATGTTCAAATACATATAGTCACAAATAAGGTAGATGCATTTTGAGAAAACCACTGAAATAAGGCAAATAAAATAGGTTCCATTTGGCTGAGAAAAATAAAACAATGCAACAAATTGAAGGTTTGATTACATTAAAAAAAAATGTGAATACTACCCAATTCATGCTACAGTAAGTTGAACCCCTCCCTTTCCTCCCTTCTCATTGAACACACACACACTGCTACTGCACATCATGCCAATCTGTTACTATGGCAACCCTGGTTCCATTAGCTGTGCTGCTCTTCCCCTCCCACCACTCGTCTCTGCCGCTGCCTCTTCAGGCGCTGCGGTTTCCCTTCACTGTCTCCAACATGAAGCAGGTCTTGTGGTTTCTCCTGCTCTTTTCTCTAATTCTCTTACTGATTTCCCCCTTAAACAAACACGCCTTATGACTCTGATTGAGGGGGCTGGATGTCCTTGTTTGCCTCCTACTCAATCACTCTTTCTTCTTCCTCTCCCTCATCTTCTTTCTCTCGCTACTTCTCTGTTTGTGTTTGCACAGTTTTCTGGGCACGCGGCCCTAGCCACACTCCTGCTAGCTCAAACACACACAAACATACACACACACATATACACAAACATACACATATACAAACACATAAAGCCTCAGAAATCAAATAGTCTGTGCAGAGATTCCACTCCTTAATGGAAAACAACAGCCTTCATAATTATTATATGGTCAACCCTGACCACACGCATACAAACAAAGGCTCAATCCAAGGGCTGCTACTCGCTCACTAATCAAAACATCTTATGTTGGTATACAGAGTGTTTTATTATACCTTGATATAGGAGTGCAGGTAGTGATCCAGGTTTTCTTCATGGCACTTTGCAACAATGTGAACCAGCACTCTGCAGACACAGGATAACAAAGAGCTTTAATTATTACATCCTTTGTTGAAAAACACATATTTTCTCTTGAAAAGCAGAATATTTTAATTAAAAATGCTGGATTCATCAAAACATTTTTTAATGGATATGGTGTTTAAACAGAACACTACCCTCACTGTTTGCTTTACTACATCCTCTGAGCCCCCACCCTTATGAGCCCAGCTGCTGTGAACGTTGTAGTACCACTGCCTACCTGGTGGTGGCAGTAGTGACATCATCGTTGTCATTCTGTGTCAAAACCTTGAAAAGCTGGTTGAATAGCACAGGCAGATATCGGATGATCACTGGGATTCTCTCCATACTGAGAAGACCCTGGAAAAGAGGGGGAGAAGATAGAGAAGGGTGGAAATAAATAAAAACGTAAACCACAAACAGGCAAAAAACAAAATTAGGTTTGGCACACAGTAATGTTGCATGTATTAGACAAGTAGCAAGGCTTTAGTTTGTGTCTCAGTCTGAATGAAAGCTAGGGGGATGCAGTGTCTTTTTTCTGACCTTCAGGCAGTTGAGGAAGTTGGAGGTAGGAGGTAGTGAGAGGTCCAGCTCTCTTTTCTGGCACTGCTGGAAGAATCGGTTCAGGTGGGGGTCCTGGCAGAGAGAAGAGAGGCCATGAATATCAGCAGCATCTGCAATAACACTTACTGGACTGGCTCCATTTTAGCAAACAATTATTCCTCAAATGTGAACTCCACCAAATCACCACGTTTGTCAAAATGTCATCGTCTCAGCGTTGTCAACAACAGTTTAAGTATTTCAAAAAGTACATGAAATAAACACCAGGTTTGTTGTGGAACATTTGAATAGGCTGACGATAGTATTATGGAGGCCAATGTACTACATAATAAACCTAAAAAACAACAAAACTTCAGCTATGTTGCAGTAGCTCAGATATTTATACTATATCTATACAATAAATATATGAATATTTAATATATATCAATATCTTTTTTAAAGTGTCCTTTTAGGGTGCAAGTAAATGTACATTTTATTTTCTCCATTGAGCAGCCAGTGTTTGTTAACTTAATACGAATGACTTTTTTCCACAAAGTATTGCAAGTGAAACTTAGACTGACATAGCCCAGCAAGAGATTGCTGTTTAGCACTTCAAAACATCATCTACTGGCATACTGTTAACATCCACATTGTTGTTTCATGTTCCACATTAATAGCACATATAGTTTCAACTATTTTTACAATGTTTTTACGGGTAGCTTGATGGTCAATTTATGTCCATTCACTGTCCCACACAAGCCATTCATTTTAATTATGCTAGAGAAGCCAATTACCTTATTGGGGTGAACATTTTCTTTTAGGCTAATACCTTTACAGTGCATTTCCTGATTCTGACTCTTTTTAACAAAGAGAAAACCAGCCATCCATCAATTATAATCCATTTTGTTGTTGTTCATACTGTATGCCATCCTTCACAGAGCATACTTACAGTAAGACACATAGCCAGTCCATCACAGTAAAAACAAAGCCAGGGGAGACTGCAGACACCCAGACGAGGGTCTTACCTGGGTGTATACTGTGGAGACGACATTGGTTGACACTTTGAAAATAGTTTTTCCCCCATCGACCCATTTTACATCAGCTCCATTCTGTAAAAAGTCAAGACAGCTTGAGTCTCACACCAACAATCCCACAATGTATCACATGTATTAAATCTAAATATAATCCCCTCATCCCAAATGAATGTGTTTATTATTCAGCAGTACTTTTAATATTTATACACCTTGTGGCTTTCCTTCCTCGCTCTTACCTTGGTGTTGCTGGCTTCCTTGATGGCCAGGTATCCAGGCTGCAGGTTACAGGAGACAGGGACGCTGAACTCCTGGGAAGACAGGCGGCCTTCTTTGAGGAGGGGCAGCCAAGAGTACCCCACTAAAAACACACAAATACAAAAGTACTGACTGTTTGGCAAGACGAATCACAAAATAACCATCTGCACATAAATAAAAGTTCATTTAAATGAAAGCTCCAGATCAATCGACTCACCGGGGGTCTCCAGGGTTTCTTTCCTCTTAGCATTCGTCTTAGCATTAATGTCGCAGGTGACGTGGTAAAAGGAGAAGAGAAGGTGGTGCTTTTCATGAAGTTGAGTAGGAAGCTCAATCTTCACCTGAGGACACAATAGCATGTAATGAGTTACATTATGGGCTGCAAAGGGATGCTACAGATTGTCAAGGTGTCTATAAAAATGCTCTAGTTCATGTTCTGGAGAAGTAAAAAATCCCATTCACGGCTATTAAGATATGTATGTGGTGATTCCTCATCACACAATAATCACATCCTTTACCTCATCGTAGAAGTCGGGGTTCTGGGAGTGATGTAGGACTGTAGAACAGGCTGCTGTGGTGAGGACTGGACCTCCTGGCTTGCCGTAGATACACTGGAAAAACAGCAATAGAAAAAGTTGCAAAATAAAGTCAGGTTCAGCCAGTTTCTCATGAAAGACAGAGTTTAACTGGAGCTGTATAAACGACAATAAAGTCACATCAGCATTCCACCTTTAAAGGTTTGGCAACTTCTTCGTCTGAGCAGCGGAACTCCACATAGACGGAAAGGTTACGAGCCTGCGAACAAAAGGACCATTGTGTCATTTATAATTGGGCATGTACAAAAGCAATATATCAAGTATGGAGAAACAAGAGGAATGTTGTTGATTATTTGGGATTTAAGGATACTTTCAAATGATCATTTTAATTTGCCACACTATACCTTAGCAAAGCTCTTTTGGCTGTCATATTTGAGGTGTTTGGGGTAGACGTAGATGTGATTCCTGTAGACGCGGTGTGGCTGTGTGAACTTGGTGGTGTCCTGGACAAACTCCTCCACCTCCACAGTAGGCAGGTGTTTGCTCAGGTCCTCAAAGGGCTTCACCGGTACACAGGAGGATGTCACACAGTCTGAAAACACAGAAAGGTTTCAGACATATAGCAGAGTAGACAGCACAACGGGAAAATAAATGGGAGGTGTTCCCTAAAAACACATACTGGGATGCTCCAATGGAACATAGTCAACGGAGATTTCCAGCGTGCCAGGAATAGTCTGCAGTTTACTGGTCTTCTCAGCCCTGCACAACCAAAAATGTGAATTAGATGTTGTAAGAACTGTTTATCTTGCCTTGGAAGAGTCCAAGTGTTCTACAGTGTGCCTTACCTCCTGTACTCAGACACCATCTTAATCAAGTCATCTGTGGTGATCTTGTTGCTCTCCTGTTTGAAGAGAGGCGAGAAACGAGAGTCTCTGTCTAGGGCCCCGTGGTTATCCTTAAACACTGACCTACAATAGACAAAAAAAGACATGCAGACTTTGGTTAGCTGTCAGATCCTGTTGAGAAAACATGGCAGATAACGTTTTTTAAATGTTTAGACAACTGAGTCTCCAAGCAGGGCCACTGACCTGACGGACCAGGCAAATGGCATGCGGTACTTTCCCAGTTTGCTACAGAACTGTTTGTTGGATTTCAAAATCTTCTGCACAGTCTGTACAAGACAAAAGCAGAGGAAGAAGGACAGAAGGTAATGTTAGCAAGACACCAAGGCTGTAATTTTTACATTGGGATGTGGTCAGCCCTTAATAATTATTGACCTAGACAGAGGGACAGGAGGTTAAATGTCTTGTGATTCACTTAGCCACTTGAACAAGGACCATATCGAGAGCTGCCAGCGGGAAAGCCGGGAAATCTCTTGGATAGGATGTCGGAAAAACCTCTTTTGAAATATCTGACCGGACTTGCATTCAGTGATGAAGATAAACTATTTTGTAAATGTCATGCATTAAAGTGTTTGAGTGGATTTATCCATTTCCCGTTCAATAAATGCCCTAAAGGCATGTTTCATGAGGCATTTCCCTGCTTGCTTCAAGAGATAAGACGATATAAAAGGTTGGGCTCTATGTTGTTGATCAATGATAGAACATAAATTAAGCAATGTGAATTTTGATGCAAAGTGGTATTGACTGAATAAATTAAAAGAGGACTTTCTGACCTTGCTGGAGTCCGTATTCTTGATGTAAGGTTCCGTCCCACAAGCAATATTTCCCATCAGCACCTTTTCCACTCTTGCCACCATCACGATGTCGGTGTGGGGGTTGGTGACTGAGAAAATGGCCTGCATGTAAAGCATAGGAAATACAAATTAAAGATATTCTACATGTTAAATGCAGAGTAAAGCATTCGACATGTAGCACCGTACATCTAATTTATAGAACACACTGTGGTTTAAACATTATTTTACCTGTTTGGGAAAGCTTAGCCACTGCTCCAGCTCCGGGCTAAGGCTACAGTCACCTGGCTTCTTCTCAGCAGGAGAGCTCAGGCCATTCTCCTGAACTCCGACCCCCGTCGCCGGTTCAACTGTCTCGTTACAGCAGCCTCCTAACATCTGACGCACCGCCTCGTGGTTGAGGTCTACGTGGAAATCTGCAGACACCTTCCTTCCTTCTCGTATATCCAGCAGAGCCAGTGACACAAAGAGGGGTTCAATCTGGTGGAACAAATGGAGTCCAGTCATTGTCATTACAGACCCATGGTGATAAACATTTAAATATGTTTGAATAACTGTCTGAAATGCTTTCTAATCCTCACATTAGTGACCGGTCCAGTTTCAGTCTCGTTGATGCAGCCCTGTAGCATGAGGTTGAGAGATCGGCAGGTTATCATAAACCTCCTGCCCAGTTTCTCCTCAAACGGACGCACGGTTGAGTTTTCAACTGACGAATGTTCGGTCCGCGGGCTCCTCAGGACCTGTGGTTGGTGAAACACAATTGACAGAATTCTTCTGATGAGATCTGGTCAAAAAATGCAGAATTATGACAAACATAAAGAATAGATTCATGTCATAAAGGAAAAATGCATAAAGTTAAACATAAAATAAGTAATGATGAGCTACGAAAATTGTGGAATATTCAAAGAATATATGTAGATATATAGAGTATGTAGATGTGCAGCCACATTAGTTTATTCTTACAGGAGTATCAGGATCCAGGGAGAACAGATTCAATCTCTCTTCTCTCCTGGCAGAACGAATTCCTTCATCTGTCTCAGAGATATACTGTCAGGGTAAAAAGTAAATTAACAACTACACAAATAATAAATAGCTTATTATGGATTATAATATCAGTAAAACAAGTTTTCAAAAAAAGGTTTTCTTGTGGAACAGGAAAGTCATGTTTACGTTCAGTGCTTCTCCCAAAAATGCATTGTGGGAATTCTTGAGGCCTATAAAAACATGGCAAATTCCTGCCTCATAAAATATTTACAAAGCCAACTTTTTTTATATCTGGATATTGGCATTGTTTACATCCATGTAAGGCTGATAAGCACTTTCATTATTTTCTGTCTTTAGCTAATGCATTGCTTCTTTTCTACCATTACTGTTGCCCATTGGAAAAACCATCAGGAATGTGTTCTGCTTGAATGTGTACATGTGTACTACCTTTGCTAGCTCTGGATTGATGCCGTTCTCTGTTGTAGTATCTTCATTCTCCTGTAAGCAGCAGTCACTCAACGACAGGTCAAACACATCTGGAGGGAGAACAAACACGATCAGTACTCCTGAGAGGGACCTCTGTTTATGAGTGATGACACCGAGTGGATGGGAAAGTTTATCTAAGCACTTCATTTTCCCAAAAGGTTAAAGGCTATATTACGTTTTCTAGAATAGGTTCAGCAGTACACTAAATACACACTCACGGAGTCAGCCGGCATATATCCATCTCAGAATGAAATAGGACTATTTGTGGTATTTACGGGTAATAAGGCAGGCAGGCTTTTGCAGATATATAACGGTCATGTGCCCGTAGCACTTCTTCTTAAAGGCCATCCTCAACAAAATGGCTCATTAGTGGTAGGTCACCACACGCTCACAGCCTGATTTAGAGGCACCACAGAGCCATGACGGCTGAGGCCATTACATCATTCCACCACTTTTCACCAGGTTGAGTTTCATTGCTGTTGCTGTCTGTTATGATTCAGGCTCTCACATATTATCAAGTTTCATGCATTTTGCTATTTAATAATAAAGTATGATGTATTAAACAAAGGTGGAGTCAATGAACCTAAAACTAGCTGAAATGAGTTGGACAGAGAGGAGACGTTAACACTTTTGCTGACACCGGGTTAAAAAAAGTCTTCCTCTCTTTAGGGCACCATGATTTATACATGTGTTGGAATTCTGCTTAAATTTCCCCTCCTTAAATACCCCTCTCGCTACTAAATTACCATTTGTGCTTACAATCCTCTTTGCTCTTTCCAACTATTTTTCATGGTTTGTGCTTTCCTAAATACAAAACAGAGCCGCTCTCACCCTGCCGATGGTCGGTGAGGTCAAGACTCTTGCGGTCAGGAGCGGGACCATCGTGGGGACTGATCTGTAGGATGCGGGTCAAAGTGCTGATCCATTCCTCCATGTCCTGCTCGCTCTCCGCGGCCAGCACGAAGTACGTAACCTCGTTCATTTTCAGCTCAAAGGCATGTTTCCTTAGACGGTTATTCTGTACGGGGATGAATGGAAGGATGAATAGGATAATGTGGTTAAGCAATGAAACCAGAGCTTGGTTCGGCTTTGGAAAACTTGACTCTTTCTTCCAAGTGCAGGTTTTGCATGTGCTGAATTATAAACATATCCTTGCTTGCATGGGATTAATTGTTACAATTTATTTACTTGGCTGCTTTGTGCAATATTGAGGATTGAATAGGAACGGGAGCATAAAAAGCCTCCCTATATTACTCTGAATATACAAGTCTTTAGTATGTATGAGATAGTGTAAATGGTGCTCTTATTTATTTAAATGATTTAAGACCCACCTGTACCACACCAGTGCAGGAGTCAAGGAAGATGCACCCTTTGGGCTCCTTGGAGATCTTTTCATCTTTGTAAAAGTTCATGATGTACGAGTTATCCGTCAACTGGGTGAGCTGAAAATATCTCCTCTTGAACGACTGCGCAGAAAAGGTGCAAATATTATTAAGACAAAGTTATAGACAACAATGTATTTAGGGTATGTGCTCAAATTACCCAAAACACAAAATAAGTGCATTATTGCTTGAAAATCAAACAGTAATGTAGATGATGCCGTATTATTATTACAAAAACATGTCATTAATAAGAGTCACACTTAAAGTTAAAACATGGGGGGCAAGTGAGGGTCAGGGTGATAAAGGAAGATAGAAAAAGTGTGTCACCCGAACAGTAATGCTATTGTTGACGGTGCTATTAAAGTTCCCTTTGTAGAGCCATCCTGACCGAAACACACCGATCCCACCTCCACCACCTCCCCCTCCTTTGGACGAGGACAGGGATGTTGTATCCTGTAAAACATAAATATGGTCAGCTGTGGGAACATTAGCTCTCTGTTTATCCCTCTGACAAAGAGGAGCAGATGATCAATAGTGAAAAAGAGACTTTCCAAGACTCATTCTATCTTAGGATGGCTATTTGTCAGTCAAATGATGTTCATAAACAAGGTCCCACTGACCTGTAATGAACTAACTGCACTCCCAAAGTATGTTTTAACAGCTTTAAGGCTGTAGTAAACTAATTTAAACAGGATGTATTGAGTGTGTAATGCATTCATTCTAAAAGCATTTGTCAGAAGACGGTCATTACTGACCTCATCCTTGTCAATGTCTTCATGGTCGATCTCAAAAGAATGTGACGGCAGCTTCTCAGCTTTGTACAGTTTCCTATAAAGGAATTGGAAGAAGAAAAATGTTGAACTCTGATAATGAAATACACTGAACAAAAATATAAACGCAACACTTTTGTTTTTGCGAGTGGCCTGTGTTCGTCGTCCATAACATACACCTGCCCATACCATAACCCCACCACCACCATGGGCCACTCAATTCACAACATTACCCTAACCCTAACCCTAACCCTACCCCTCACACCAGATACTGACTGGTTTTCGGACCCCCCCAGACCCCCCCAATAAAGCAAAACTGCATGTTTCAGAGTGGCCTTTTATTGTGGCCAGCCTAAGGCACACCTGTGCAATAATCATGCTGTCTAATCAGCATCTTGATATGCCACACCTGTGAGGTGGGATGGATTATCTCGGCAAAGGACAAGTGCTCACTATCACATATTTTTTCAGATTTATGAACAATATTTGAGATAAATGGTTATTTTGTGTATATAGAAAATGTTTTAGATCTTTGAGTTCATCTCATGAAAAATGGGAGCAAAAACAAAAGTGTTGCGTTTATATTTTTGTTCAGTGTATATTGATGGAAAGAGAAAATGATTTCAGGAATGTAATTATTCCACTCTATTTGAGTGGTGTAAATTAGTGTGGGTGGCTGACTGGGCTCCATCGTTCTCTGTCAGGAGTCGACAATAGGTAGTGCTCACTTGATCCCTCTCCGCTGATTCCAATGGCCGACCTGTCTTTGTGTGCTAGCCATGGGATAAAATGCCTTTGTGTGTGTGCTGTGAGCTGCAGACAGCTAGGCTACAGTCTGTGAAGGGTAACACTGGAACAACCCTTCGCTCAAAGTCACACAGTCGTAAAAGCAGACTGAAACAAATCTCTTAAGGGGACTATGTTTAGAAGATTGCTGGTGATTGTAGGCTGGCCACTGACAGAGGAATGCTAATACTGTCCTGCACAGATGAAAAACGCTCCACTTTATCTCAGTGGTGACAACCACACATATACAGTAGCTGTAGATTCCCATTGTATTTGGATCCCCTGTATTGTACATGCAACTTATAACCTGAATGCCTTTTGTTTATGTTTGGTAAGCTTGTCTGGCTTATAAACAAAACATATAACAATAGGTTTAATGCTAGATCAATTGCTGCAAAAAGACAAGAAAATGTGCTGTGATTGTGCTATAACTTGTATTTAAGCTGCATTTCACTTTACAGTTCACCCTGGATGTCAGTTCAGAGGTCATGTGAACTGACTGAAAGAATACAGTGGCAACCCATGGGACAAAAGAGGGACATTCCTGTGGTTGAGAGCAGTCACTGCAGGGCGGCTCAGGGTCAGCCTCACTAGGACGGATACAACTTCAAGTTCACTGACAGCCTGATTTTGACAAATGAGCGCCTGAATGAATGGGTGTCTGATTGGATGACTGACATTTATAATAGATATCGAGGGAGCAGTAAAAGTTAACATTTGTTAGAGAGGAATTTCCTCTCCCACTCTGACTCTCTTTCTCACTCAACACCTCCCAACATTTTGTTCTTGTTAATGACCTCCCACCTCAGTGTAACAAATTATGGTTATTCTCGATGTTAGGGGCGACTTGTGGGTCTCATTGTAAATGAGGGAAAATGTCCAGCATGTGTTTGATCAAGTCAGTAAGTCAAACAAATCTCAAGCCACTTTTTTTAAACTTCCAATCAGCATACATCTCCAAATAACATACTGAAACTGTACAGAATTTTGCTCATGTAGAATCTTAGGCTGGGTAACGTAATTATGCAGTACTTGTGGCGAGCTTGAGTTTTTGATACAAATACAAAAAAGGTATGATTTCAATACCTTTAAAAGATAAGTATTGACAATAAAAACATTTCAATGTTAAATCGAGATTCCTGTAATCCGAGAATAAGTAAAAAAAGATGATGAACCTGAAAGTACATCAAAAATCGATCCAAGCTCAATATGCAGCTCTATAGGAGGAACCCAATAGTAGGGTTGCTCGATTATGGCAAAAATCATAATCTCGATTATTTGGGTCAATAATTGATATCACGATTATTAATAACGATTATCCATTTACTTTGAAAATGTCAATTTATTGGAGAAAAACTATTTGAACAGTATGTTTTTAACAGTTGATTACCCTGAACTTTAAGTATAATTCAACTGAAAAACCAATAATAAAAAAAAAAGTATTTGAAAAAAAAAGAATCGTTTTATTTCGATTACGTTGTTTTCGTAATCGATGCAAGCCATAATCGTAATTGCGATTAAAATACGATTAATTGAGCAGCCCTACCCAACAGGGCAGTACATGTTATAGAAATGGTTTTGAAATGTTGGTAAAAGCTATTGATTGCTCTCTTTTCAAATGTGAGAGGAAAAGATTGATACCCCGCTCATATTTGTAGGTTAAACATGAAGCCACAGCCATGATGATTTTTTTCAAATCAGGGCAAAAGGAGGCTTGCAAACAAGTCATAATCAGGCTAACTATTTCCCTCTGCTTCCAGTGTTAATGTTTATTTGTATTGCCTTTTTTATTTAACGTCTTATTTCATTAACAGAGGCTCTTTGTTCAGAATAGGTATATCACAACAAAGAAACAAGATACAACTAATAAAACCAGTGTTACTGCTAACCTAAGCTAACCATATCCTGGCTGCAGCTTCACATAAAGTAATGTAAATTGTTATCAATCTTCTAGGTGAAGTATATTTCCCAAAATGATGAACTATTCCTTCAGGTACAATACAGTAGTTTACAGTAGAGGTTATCTAGTAATGTCAGAGTGTATTACCTGGGCAGCAGGCGGTAGTCTCCAGCGTACTCATCATACTTGAACTGGACCACATTTAGGTCGGAGTTGTAATACTGACAGGCCTGGAGGAGAGGAAGGAGATTAAGTTTTAAATATTAACTTTCTTTTCTGCCTCTCTGGGAGACCTGTGGCAGCAGGAACGTCTGCAGACAATGTAGAAAGCTACACCACACTGAGAGTAAAGCCATATTTCAGCTCTCCTGAGGCCTAGTCACTGATGTGCAGCCTGGGATTTAAATATCTAAATTATAAAAAGCAACTGAATTAAGACTCTGTCCCAAAGGAATCTGCAAATAAAGATATCTGTACATCTTAATAGATTTCTTGTCTGTCTCAAGGGTGGAAATAGTACTCTGCTGAGGAGGTCCTTACGGCTCACGCCTCACACACATACACAAGTCAGTTTCACATCCTCTCGTGTCTGCTTGTTGTATGCTGTGCGCTTGTTTTCCTTGATCCATTTGTTAGAAAGATCTTGATATTTTGTTAACAAATTCACAAATGATAGACAGACGAAACATATTATCAGCTACAACATCAACATCGGACAGGATAGCACACACATAGAAAGCCAGACACACACACTAGTCTGAATTGAGCTGTGACAGTACTGTCTGGGGAGTTTCCGTCTACTCAGGCCTCATTTCAGATCGACCTGCCATAATCTCAAGGGCTCAGTGGAGAAAGAACATATGATCACACACACACACACACACACACACACACACACACACACACACACACACACACACACACACACACACACACACACACACACACACACACACACACCACACACCACACACACACACAACACACACACACACACACACACACACACACACACACACAGCTCCACCGGTGTCAGGATGTCCTAAATTGAGAGCCTAAAATGACAGACCTAACCACCAACCAACCGAAACCTTTTATATTTGACAGTACAGCGGTCCTGTACACCCAAGGCTATATGAGGACACACACTCACTGACACACACACACACACACACACACACACACACACACACACACACACACACACACACACACACACACACACACACACACAACACACACACCACACACACACACACACACACACACACTCCTTACCTGTCTGACCAGCAGACATTCAGCCTGTAGTTCTGCCCCCTCAGGAACAGTCGATTTGAGAGTGCGTCTCTCCTGAGGCACAGTGGATACCTGGAGGGTTAAACAAATTGTAAAGGGACCGTTAAAAAATGATAAAAAAAGTGTGTTATGGCAGGATGAGCTACTTCAAAAAACATATTCTTCAAAGGGATCAAACCACTGAAAAAAAAGTAGCAAATGTGCTCTTACACAAAGAAAATGTCATATTCACGTATGGGTATTGTTTAGAGTCTAGACTCTCATACATTAACTACATTGATTACAGGACAAGATGAGTGAGGATCTTGGTGGCTCAATAGGAAATCATCCATTCATCAATTCTAATTTATATCCAAGCCACTAATGGCTTCTAAATATATTTCACTCAGTCTAGGACATCGTTCAACAATTAAATCGTTTTTCTAAATGAAAATGAAAGTAACAAATGAATGACGAATAAAAGAAAAGAAACTCAATCAATACATATTGATGACTGGATGTCTACCAAATAAATGTGAATCATATGCTGTGGCCCTAACACACACCAGATCTCCACCCAACTGTCAAATCAAGTTATTTTACTTTTATAGCCCATTACAATACATGGGTAATGTGCCCTCCAGAGGAACACATATGTGAGAATGCTGTTCATTGATTACAGTTCAGCCTTCAATACCATTGTGCCCTCCAAGCTGGCCATTAAGCTCAGAGACCTCGGGCTCAACAGCGCCCTCTGTGACTGGATCCTGAACTTCCTGACGGGCAGACCCCAGGCAGTGCGGGTGGGAAACATCACATCCTCCACCCTGATCCTCAACACCGGTGCCCCTCAAGGCTGCGTGCTCAGCCCTCTCCTCTACTCCCTGTTCACTCACAACTGCGTGGCCACACACAGCTCCAACACCATCGTGAAGTTTGCTGACAGCGTACAGAGAGGAGGTCGAAAACCTGACATCTTGTTGCCAGGATAACAACCTCCATCTCAACGTCAGCAAAACAAAGGAGCTGATTGTGGATTACAGGAAGCAGCAGGGAGAGGGACACGCCCCCATCGCCATCAATTGGACTACGGTGGAGAGAGTCAGCAGCTTCAGGTTCCTTGGGGTCCACATCACTGAGGACCTGACATGGACTCTTCACACCACCACCATCACCAAGAAAGCTCGACAGCGGCTCTTCTTCCTCCGCAGGCTGAGGAGGTTCAAAATGGATTCCAGGATACTCTGCAACTTCTACAGGTGCACCATAGAGAGTATCCTGACTGGCTGCATCACGGCCTGGTACGGCAGCTGCACCGCCCTTAATCGTAAGGCTTTACAGAGGGTGGTGAATCCTGCCATCCATGGAGGACCTATACTCCCAGGGGCTCAGGAAGAAATCCCTCCGGATTATAAAAGACCCCCGTCTGGCAGGCGTTACAGCAGCATCCGGACAAAAACCACCAGATTCAGAGACAGTTTCATCCCACAGGCAATAAGACTGTTAAACACCTGAACTGTTGTAACAACATCCATAACATTCATCTGCTACTTAGTAATTATTTATCTAATATATCATTCCAATAGCTTGCATATAGACTCTTATTTCACTACTTCACTTTTTTTAAACAATTTTTCTTTTTGTATTTACTTTTTAAAATGTACTTGCACTATATTTTTCAGTTTTTCTGTATTATTGTGTTGCACTGTTGGAGAAGCCTGTGACCTAAGATTTTCATCGACATAACTACTCTGTAGCTATGTTCGTATGACAAATAAAGAACCTTGAACCTTAAAGGGCTTTTCAGTCTGTACAGCATATAACATCCTCCATCTTTAGATCCCTGATTCCCATTAGGAAGAAAATGTACAGCCCTTCAAAAAAAGATGGAGAAAGGGGTGGCAAAATTTGAAAAATAAACATGAAAACAGATATACTTGGACAGTGCTTTCAACTAAAACCAAAACACATGACAGCCAATTTTTAACAAGAATGTTTTTTTCTCCAGGAACCCTGGTAAAGAAGCTTTTTAAGCTGTTCTGAAGGCCCGTGTTGGCTCAACAGACTACACTTACAGTATGTTGTTTCTCTTTTAATGTCACCCAACTGTATACTAGAGTCGACTATGCTTGTATAGTAAATATATATAGTCATATTTAAATATAAGGACTTACCACAATGCCTCTTAACTCTCACTGGTAAAACTAACCAACATGAAAATAAACAAAACTTAAATGCTCTGATCGACCCCGTCCATTGTTAGCCATAATAGCTCAAATACTCTAGGGATGGCTATGGTCTCTCTGTGGTTCACCAGTTTGTTAAGATTGAATTGTTCTAAAAAAATTAAAACCGTTATTTAAATTGCGATGACATTTTGTACAGACATTCATTGTCCTCACTCAGAGGATGGTTCACAGCCATGGGACTAGTGGGTGGCTCAGAGTTTTTTTAATAAGGCAAATCACAACAGAAGTTATCTCATGTCCCGTTTCATCTAGAGCAGGCTTTGGACGATCAGAACTGCTCATCATGCTTTATAGGTAACACTTAATGAGCAATGATTTGAGAGAAAAAGCAATACTTATCGGGTATTTTGATGTAATATTCATTCATTCCTTCTTACAGAAATAGTTTCTTGCCAGCTTTATTGCAGTGGAGATGAATAATGTATTTCTAAGCAGTGATTACACCTACAACTAATATCCTTACCCATTAAACTTTAATTATGCAAAGACCATTTTTATGGTTTTATAATGTATATTCAAAAGAAATGTTCTTCCCAGACTTTGATTACACAACCCAATCAGCTGGCTGGAGCGCAGCACTCACTAACCAACTGGCAGAGAAGCCGATCTAGTAAATGCCTTTTGAGCATTAGCAATACTCCGGCAAACCACTTTCACTTACTTATGAAAATTGACTTTAGGCTGCAGAGACAAAGAGAATCAGAGGAGATTGTGTTGCAGCCAGACAGAGCTGGGAATCAGCAGAGTCAGCCATTAAAGCTACAACTTCACAAGCAGACATTTCCCTTTACCACAAGCAGCCAATTAGTTCATGTTAGTGTGAGGTGGATCTGTGTCTGCAGAAACGTATTAGCACGGTAATGAAAGAACTAATGAACAAAGACCTAAAGGGAGCAGGGGAGAATAAATTGTGGACCGTAATGAAAAAAACACTATGCTCAACATGCATGATTAGTGTGAATAAGTGTGTCGTGCTGTAATGGGGAAAATAAGTAACACGTTGCATTTTAAACAACAATGTTCTATTGGCAAATTATGATCTGGAGAGTTGTACAGTATGTGTTCAATATCACACCCAAATGACTATGTAGTAACTATACAGACTGTCATGTATGCATGTTATACAGTAGTGTCTTAACCTTCCTGTTGGCTTCGGGTAAAATCTGACCTGTTTCTAAATATTTATTACATGATAAGAGGGTATTTCATGTCATTGCCACACAAATAACACGGATGGTTTCATACCACCTTCTCCGCAAGGACAGATTATGATTACTATTTTTTTTTTTATTATGTGCGTTTCATTTAAATGTATAGCATCTGGTGTCATTATGTGATGCCCTTAATCTTTTTTTTTAAATGGTTTTAAACAGAATCCTTACTAAACTTTGACGTATATAAGTCTGTGACAATCCATCAAGATATATTCCTGTGATCTAAACTATGGTGAAAAAAAATCCAATTGTTGGCCTTTTGTTAACTCAAAAATGTGGTTAAATTGACGGTCCTTTGACCAAAAATGGCAATAAGATAAGTAAAACTAGTGTTAATGAGTTGGCTTTTAATGTGTAGAGCATATTTAGGGGATCTTAGTTATACTATATGCTGTCAAAACAATCAAACCAGGAAAATGCACAGTAAGGGGAACACAAAGGTTCAAATGTCTATAATGTCTATATCATGTAAAATACTTTCTGAAAATACCACAAAGGAATTTATAGATGTGAAAGATTTCTGACATAGAGCTCCACGCCGGTCAATCAGGATTCACATTCGACTGAGAACCTTATTTTCTGAATGCATTACCCACTGAAACCTCACCTAACCCGTACAATCCACACATTCACAGACTTACTGAGAAATCATTGTCGGGGAATAGGAGCAGGTCTCTGAGAGGGTCTTCCTTCAACTCATCCCCCAGTTCAGAAAGGACAGCCTCATAGTCGAGAGGATCGATCAGCTTTGGCTTCTCCTGCTGCAAATGGAAAACACAGAGACATTTGATTAGATCATTCATGTAAATTAAGATCGTACATAATTGCACACCTTGGTGCATTGGTAGATGATTATGACTCAATGTCAATCCAGTTGAAACAGATGAAATGTTATGTAATAAATGTATGAATGTATGTGATGTGTATGAATGGTTATGCTAAAATATGTAAATAGATGAACTCAGACAATTCCTAACAAGCATCAGGTATGATTTCTGTGAAATGGCAAGAGGGGTGGCGTGGGCAAGGGACTCCCTATGTTATTTCACTTTCTTTTTGTTTTATCGTTTACATAATTTGTATCTGTGTATATATATCCCAACTAGAAAACAATACAAAGTTGGTCACAAAAAGTTAACAAAATGCTTCTCAAAGTTTCTTATTAATTCATTACTCTTTTAAATGACCAGTTATTGTGAAAGCAGAAAAAAAGACTCAGTATAATTATAGGGTTATTCATGAACTGCAATACTGCAGCCTAAATACAGCACAAGTATTTTTAAAAGCAGTGTCCATGACAACTAGTCATGGCATTTCCTGTGTTTTGTGATGACATCATTAGGACCTAAAAGATTGGTAGAGGAAGTGGCGCTGCAGCTGAAGTGAGACTGTGAAACACCACACCTTAAATACATGTGTGTGTAGAGTAGAAAGAGCTTTCTTAACCGACACACTGAGATACAGCTGGATTTCTCAGTAAATTAAAACCTAAGCATTCAGACCCACATATACTGAAATTTGATGACCTCAGACTTCGAAATACTACATTCAGGATCCACTGATCAACAGTCACTTCTTTGTGTGAAGGCCCATTTTACACACTTAGTATACAAACCACTGAACTTGTAAAATGATGGTGTACACATTACACACTAACATGTTTTATATTCTCAATGAGATTCAAAACTATGTTGAAGAATGATGTAACGTGTCAATGAGTCATACAAAAAGCCAACCTTTCAAACATGTGTTTCACAGATAGCGGCCAATGGTTTGTTACTTCTGTCATTCAGAGAATAGCAACAGAGCAGCAGAGCGAGAGCTGCAGCAGGCTGTGGGGAGGAACGCGGAGGAAGTAATGATCTTTGGTTTGGTTCACACGCACACACTGCAGACCGGGGCTTTTACCCACCACAGCAACGCTAACAGTCAGAACAGGCCTCTTGGCGCACAACCAACAGAGAGCACAGAGACAAGAAGGAAATATATAACTGAACACAAGGTGGGCCATCTGTCTAAGCACTGCCCTGACCCCCCAACCTGTATGCTGTTAACCTTTACCCCCATTACAAGTTGTATACTCCACAGTTAATTTACAGTGCCATTTCTTTTGTTTTCTGTTCCTTGTCAGAAATGTAAAACTCATTTACAATCATCCTTTTCAACAAAACAAGATTTACATAAATTGATTATAAGCACACTTAACAACATTCATCATAATTGATTACTCAATTAAATTAATTATGCAATCTTCAAGTTCAAGATTTGACATATTTTCACTTTTTCTTGTTAAATGTAAATCTTAATTGTATACATTTTAAATGTGTATTTCTCGGGATGGTAGGAAACAGCATTTGGATCTCTCTGTCTTTATCAAAGAGGATGACAATAAAGTTGACTTTGACTTTTTAGCTGTTGTCAACGTGAGCTGTGAGAAATTGTGATTGGTTTTCTTTCCATTTCTATCTAATCTTAGACAAACAATTAATCAATAATCATAATAAAAATGTGAAGAAAAAAAATGGCTTCTCTGCACACCAATCATTAGCAAGTGAAGCACACGAGACACAGGATGGAATAGGCAGGCGAGTACATTAAGCTTGCGGTTTTCAAACGTGCATTCCGACTCTTCTTTGACCCATGTGATGTCAGTGTTGATGTTTCAGGGGAAAGTCTCAGGCTTTCCCTTCATGAGCTGACATCTGTCACCCACAGCAATGTAGCATTAGCTCTGTGAGGTGTGCATCATTAATACACACATAATTGAATCTGTTACCATTGAGTATTCACAATTCTCTTCTATCTCTATCTTTTACTGTCACAGCCTTTCTAAATGTCATGTGTCAAAGGTATTATTAATAAGAGGAGTAAATGAAGCACAGACAAATTGAAAATCATTTCAGTATATAGGGCACTGACTGTAGTCTATAATCATTAAAGCTGTATAAATGAATGCAAATAAAATGATGACTATTTTTGACAGCATATAAACACATGGAAGTAACTGATAGTAAACTGTTGCCACGTGATAGTCAATAACTGGCAGTTTAGCGTTGTTATTGATCATAAATGAAATCGGCAGAGATAAAAAAATACATACAATACTCAGCCGGGAGAAATCCGATCGTACTCTTTTGCTCTTTATTTTCCTCCTGAAGGTAATTTTGCTCCTGAAGCTCATTGCCGGTAAGAAAATGGTTGAAGCTAAATTAAAAGTGAATTAAACTAAAAGGCAAATCGCAGGCATGTGCTCTGTGAGAAGCAGAACTAACACTGAGGGATTGTGATTTTGTGTCAGTGCATCTAGAGGAAGTCGATGTTTGATGTCCAACACTCACTTCAGCGCACACACATATGCAAGAACACACTCGCTGAAAAACCCCTGCAAATGAGAAACTAACCCACTAGACACTCCAGTTTCTACACATCATGCTCTCGATGCCTTTACTTTCTGACTTCTCTATAACTATTTTTGTAAGTGCAATAGAAAATATATTTCATTTAAGGTTGATAGTACCCACCCTACAAACAGACACAACCCCTCTCTACACATAACACTATCGTCTACTCACACACACTAAAAGTCAACTCTAAAGACCTTATCTTGCTCTGTCCAAATGTATCAACAGCTCACGTAAGCCCACACATGCACACATATATAAACCAGCGTGCACACCATCAACTTCCTGTTTTAAAGCAAGCCTGTCATCCTCATGTACATGACACTGTGTATACAATAAGGCATATACAAAACAAAAACGTATAGGTTTCCAATGTTGCTTGATCAAATGTATATAAATGCATGCCAGACCATATAAACGCACCATAGCATTGTATTTATTTTTGGCCTGTACATACACTTCCCCCTGGATTAAACCATATAGCAGAACAGAGATCTGTGCAAGAGGAAACAACTCCTGATGATAAACTGTGATACCTGTCCTGCACACATTAACACATAAGGAGGTGGCGCTATTAGGCTTTTTGGGAGCATGCATTAATTAAATATTGCAGTAAAATAAATGTATTGCATTATTCCAAAAGAGAACAGACATATTGTTCACTTAATATATCTGTAGTTTTTTATATTTGCACAAATATTGCATTGAGGTTTCTGAATCTTTACACTGGCTTCCTGTGTGTCAAAGAATAGATTTCAAAAATACTGCTGCTGGTTTATAAAGCACTGAATGGTTTAGGCCCAAAATACATTTCTGACCTCCTGCTAAATTATGAACCATCCAGATCTCTCAGGTCTTCAGGGACTGGTCAGCTTTCTGTCCCCAGAGTCAGAACTAAACATGGTAAAGCAGCGTTCAGTTATTATGCTCCAAATATCTGGAACAAACTCCCAGAAACCTGCAGGTCCGCTGCAACTCTGACTACTTTGAAATCCAGGCTGAAGACTTTTCTTTTTGTCGCTGCTTTTAATTGAACTATTCATATCTTAGACTGCACTGTAACTTTTATCCATGTACTTTTTTCTTTTAATGTTTAATTGACTGCACTGTAACTTTTATCCATGTATTTTTTCTTTTAATGTTTATTTTATTAGCTTTTCTTTTTAATGACTGATTTTAAATGCCATTTTCTTAATCTCTTTCATTTTTTGTAAAGCACTTTGAATTGCCTTGTGTTGAAAAGTGCTATATAAATAAACTTGCCTTGCCTTGCCTTGCCTTGCCATGAATGTTATGCCTCCACCCTATGCAATAGAGGTCAACGACTTTTCATTTAAAATAATTTATACATAAATTGATTAAAAACCATAATCTATGCCTACAGTATAAACAGTGTCCTTGTTTGACTTTTGATAATCTAAAGAATCAACTGTAAACATTATAGTGAGTATATCTTTGTTAAAAAGTAAACTAAAGAAAGTGTGGGTTATCCAGACTCCATTCTTGGAAGAGTGTAATGCCGCATGCTATTATTGTTAAAAGTAGGTGGACCTATTGTCAGTTAGTGACAGTTAGTTTTGGTCAAGTGATGTGAAGTGACAACTAAGGTTTTGAGGTTAAAGTGCAAAACGGTTTCACATTCACACGTAATGGAAATGACATGTCAAATACAAAGAGTGTAAAATGCAAACGCTGGTCCTGTGTTTCCCTCCGAATTAGCATCTGGTTATTTATCAGAGACATGAGAGGGTAAAACAACAATCTGAAAGGCAGGACAAGATGTTTCTAAGCATTTATCTTAATCTACTCTGTGTATCTTCATTTAATAATCGTTAATAACTCTTTGATGTTTTGTGTTTGAGATAGTTAATCATAATTATGCTCTTTGCACTGCGCTCGCTCAAACCCATTTAACGAGTGCAGCTCAGCCTCCCTACCTACCTCCCCCATCCATCCATCCTCTGTTCTGCAGCAGCCTCGGCAGGCTCGATCCCTCCATCCGTCTCATTTCATCAAACATCCTCAGCAGCACACTCCTTTATTAATTCTTCCTTTGATTATCTCGGTCTCTTTCCTGATCTCTTGTTCTCACCCTATTAAACATCCCTTTTAACATCTCTCCTTCACTCCCTGGCTGCTCTGTTTTTCTTCCTCCCTCCCTCTTAGCGGGGGTGAGATAGAGAGGGTGTTGATGTTGGTAAACTACAGCTTTCTGGAGGGCACAAATAGAGCACTACACTGGTGGCTCACAGCGTGGCTTTCCTCCAACATAACTGTGAACTAGAAAGTGAGACAGACGAAGACAGAGATAGAGGAGGATGGGTTGGGGTACTCAAAGAAGAAGAGCAGAATAAATCAAGCTCGGGAAATTATTAAGACAAAGATAGAGAAAATTCACAGGGTTCAACTCCTTGCACGTTATGTGCACAAGCTGGTCTGTGTCATTCTCAAGCACAGATTTAAGGGCTTATCATCCTGTTAAAGGAAAGATGTGCGGAAAGTGTGACGGAAGCAGAAAGAGGGGGAGTTTGGATGAAGAAAACAAATGTGAAAGGTTGAGGGAGTATAAGAGAGAGATGAATAAGGGGAGATAGGGGACAACTGGGACAGTAGAGAGGAGAAGAAAGCAGACAGAAGGCATCTGCTTTACATTATTAGAGCAATGCGAGGTCTGGGGAGGGACGCATTGGGACTAATGGGGATTCTTCTAAGAGACGTTGCTCCTCTGATGACTGTCTGACTTTCTTGCGCTCATCGCTTCTGCCAGGCCTATTTGACGTGTTGAGTAGTGGTGAAAATAAAAAACGAAATGTCTTGGCTTCTTCCAAAACACACACTACAGTTTTTTGTGGTGGCTGTTGACTTTTGAAATCTATTTTAATCTGTGGGAAGGCCATTACTCAAACCCTAAGGATCCGTCGTTCCACCGTGAATTAACAAATAATTCCCTGAATTACTCATGTTGTCAATGACCAATTGACCAAGCAGCAACACAATATGCCAAGCTGCCAGCAACAAGGAGGATAGAGATCAGAGGATTTTCGTTCTTTCTCTGACCACAACTTCCAAACATTTCTGCTGACGAAAGTTGTTGAAGATGATTGTGTCATTGGTTTCATGACAACAAATTCAAAGGGCTTTCTCAACAATGGTAAGGAGATGGTACTGAGTTATGAATGACTTTCATGTCCTGTTAAAGTACCTTTCCCATAATGTCTGCATGCTGCCACGTTCTCATATTGTAATGATGTTATTCAATTGTATGCAGATGACATACAACCCAAAACCTTTTTCACAAATATGGGCTAGACATGAAACTGTGACCAACTAATTTAAGTTACTAAACTTAGATGTTTTGCCTTGCATGGCCTCAGATCTACTTCATATAGTAAACAAATCTCTTCACTCAGGTATTTTTCCACAGGCCCTGAAAACTGCAGTCATTAAACCACTCTTAAAAAAGAATAATCTAGATGCTACAGTAATGAACAATTACAGGCCCATATCAAACCTCCCATTTCTAGGTAAAATCATTGAAAAAGTTATTTTTCAACAGTTGAGTAATTTCTTGCATTTAAATAACTGTTTCGATGTGTTCCAGTCAGGCTTTCGTCCAAACCACAGCACTGAGACTGCTCTTGTAAAGGTCTTTAATGACATCCACCTAAACACAGACAGTGGCAGAACTTCAGTGTTAGTATTATTAGATCTCAGTGCTGCGTTTGACACTGTTGACCACAACATATTACTAGACCGACTGGAAAACTGGGTGGGACTTTCGGAAACAGTTCTAAATTGGTTTGAATCCTATTTAAAGGACAGAAACAACATTGTTTCTATAGGTAAATACACATCTGAGTTGACAAATATGACATGTGGGGTTCCTCAAGGCTCCATCTTGGGGCCTCTTCTTTTTAACATCTACATGCTACCACTGGCTCAGATAATGAAAAACAACAAATAAGTTACCATAGCTATGCGGATGACACACACATTTACTGTACGTAACAATTTCACCAGGAGACTATGCTCCAATTCAAACACTGAGTAAGTGCATTGAACAAATCAATGACTGGATGTGTCAGAACTTTCTCCAATTAAACAAAGATAAAACTGAGGTAATGGTTTTTGGAGCGAAGGCAGAACATATTAAAGTTAGCGCTGAGCTTCAGTCTGCAATGTTCAAAACAACAGATAAAGCCAGAAATCTAGGTGTAGTCATGGACTCTGACCTGAGTTTCAACAGTCACATTAAAACAGTTACTAAATCAGCCTACTATCACCTAAAGAATATATCTAGGATTAAAAGACTAATATCACCGCAGGATTTGGAAAAACTTGTCCATGCTTTTATCTTCAGTAGACTCGACTACTGCAATGGTGTCTTCACAGGTCTCACTAAAAAATCTATTAGAAAGCTGCAGCTGATTCAGAACGCCGCTGCTCGAGTCCTCACTAACACTAAGAAAGTGGATCACATCACTCCTGTTCTGAAGTCTGTACACTGGCTTCCTGTGTGTCAAAGAATGGATTTCAAAATACTGCTGCTGGTTTATAAAGCACTGAATGGTTTGGGCCCAAAATACATTTCTGACCTCCTGCTAAATTATGAACCATCCAGATCTCTCAGGTCTTCAGGGACTGGTCAGCTTTCTGTCCCCAGAGTCAGAACTAAACATGGAGAAGCAGCGTTCAGTTATTATGCTCCAAATATCTGGAACAAACTCCCAGAAACCTGCAGGTCCGCTGCAACTCTGACTACTTTTAAATCCAGGCTGAAGACTTTTCTTTTGTCGCTGCTTTTAATTGAACTATTCATATCTTAGACTGCACTGTAACTTTTATCCATGTATTTTTTCTTTTAATGTTTATTTCATTAGCTTTTCTTTTTAATGACTGATTTTAAATGCCATTTTCTTAATGTCTTTCATTTTTTGTAAAGCACTTTGAATTGCCTTGTGTTGAAAAGTGCTATATAAATAAACTTGCCTTGCCTAAACAAAATGTGCTTATTGGAATGGGGTCTTTCAAACCATGTTAGCCTGGAAAATTGTAGACACCCTGGCATTGTTTCAGCACTGATGAATGTCTTTCTCTGATTTGGGAAAGGCTTAGTTAGCACATTCGTTTGTAGTGAAGCCTAAATATATCAGCACATTAGATTATACTTACAGTACAAGAATCAGCAGTTTAGCATGACTTTGCAGTTTAAACTATTATGACTCTAGCTTGCCACAGAGACCAGAAAAACAGGCACCAGAAGAGAGGTTAATGGAGGGAAAGAAATAAAGAAGGAAAGAAAAAAAGAAAGGGGAAACAGAAGGGGCGAGTGTAGAGGGCCCACTCTGCCAAAACTCGAACATTTTTTCCACTGGGCTTTCAGAAACCAGGGTCTTTCTCGGAATAAAAAACTGGTAACCATTAGTGGATACAGATACCAAACAGATGTACTGACTGACCTGCAAAGAAAAAATTGTGAAGAAAGGTACACATGTTCTTTTAAGTGACTCATTCATCGATATATTCATCCAGTCATTCATTAATTCACTCAACCATGTAAACCTCATCCACCATTTTATCCAGTCCCGTTTGAATAGCTATTTTAATCATCTTCTCTCTTGGCCATATGCATAGCAAGCAGATTTTTCCCACAGAAATTAGATTCCTCATGTCTGACCCGACCACCCCCCTCTATTCTCCTCCCTCCATTTCCGCCCCTCTGCCTCTCAGCTGTGAAGAGAAACGACCAGGCCCCAATCATTGATCATACATCAACCTCAGCATCAGGGAGAGTACAAAAAAGTATGCTTGTAAGAAAAGGCATATATGTAGAAAAAACAATATAGAATGTCACAATTAATAAACGAAAATGTATACCTAAGGTAAAACTTGCTTTTACCTTCTGGCTTAAGACATAAATCCATCCATTAATGCAATCAAAATGCACAAATATATACACACATTCCATCCAAAAATTATGACATTACTCCAGACCCACATACTGCCACCCCCTTTACCTGCCCACGCATGCATAAGGTAGTAAGGCTGAGTTAATGGAGGGTTGGAGGTGCAGTAGGTTACCATTACTATGATGGTCAGAGGGGATGTGGTAGTGGTGTAACCCTCTAGGGTTGGAGTGGCAGCTTCCAATGACATCTGGTCCTGTCGCGAACACATGTGACCGCAGTCTACACCGCCCACTGAACGTAGAAGCAGGACAACACTGGCCGAACAACCCATAATCCTCTGCTGTCGTCTCCTAGTCCAGCGTGATTCCGTTCAGCAGTGTAGGCTTCACCTGAACTGAGACTCCTTGTTTATCCTAACCTGAACCTGAAGTGCCTGCCCTGATGACACAGTTCAGTCCAGATAGCACCTGGTCCGGCCAGTGGTGCTGTGCTCTTTTCAGGCCCAGTAGGATATCTGAGGCTCCATCCTACTGTCCTCTCTGGTCTTCTTTCCCTTTAACCAGTCCTGCTTTGCAAGCTTTCTGTTTCTTTCCTGCACTGCTCTTCTCCAGTCTCCAGCTCCTAATGTTGCTGTTGCTGAGCTTACACACTGGCAGCCTTACTTGGCTCTCTCTCTCTTTCCCTCTCTCTTTTCCTCCAATACACCACATACGCACACACACACACACACACACACACACACACACACACACACACACACACACACACACACACACACACACACACACACACACACACACACACACACACACACACACACACACACACACACACACACTGACAACAGCTGTGCACGGTTCAGCCCAGCCCGACTCACCGAACAAATCACAGTCTGCAATAGCCGTCAGCTGACCAGAACCAGCTGCTGCATGCGTGCACACACACATACAAACTTACATCATTTTTCAGATTTTCATTATGCAGCACTCTTCCTCACAATTTTTTTCTCAATCACACGTGTCCTTTCAAGTGGCCAGATCTGCTGGCTGGGCATTTGTGTTTAATGGACTCCAGACAGTCCGTAGAAAGCAAAAACGCTGTCCCACACTTTCATTTGGTAAAATAAACTATTGCTTTTGTTTTACGAAAGTGTATAAAATGTGCATATTCATGTGTTTGCTAGAGGTAAAATCAGGTTAATGTTCAAGAGTGGATGTTGGCAGAGTGTGTGTGCAGCTCTGGGGTTGAGTTGGGGAGTGGTGAGAGACGCTATTGAACGAAAAGTGGATGGTAATTGGGGAGTGGGTGGCAACAGATGAAGCGTGCACTTGGAGTTTTCGGACTGTAGAGCTAACATGGGGAATTCCTGCAACTTTGGTTTAGCTCAGAGACTGCAACAGGATACAGACTGGGCTTTTGGCTAAATGAAACTCATAAAATGACATTACATCAGATGTGCCAGGGACAATCACTTTCAACGCTCTAATTGTTCTCATGTCACAGTAACATCTGGTCTTGCTTTATTCTTTATGTTCCATTTTCACTGTGTGTGGCTAAATGGAAAGACAGAAAGCAATATGCATTCAGAGACCAAAATGATCTTCACATGTTTGCAGCCATTTGAAATCCTTTTCATTTGAAAATTCCCAATGTTTTCTTCCTGCGAGTTGTACTTGCGGAACAAGAGGTCGTCCAATACATACATTTGGAAAAAAATATTGATGTACATTAGGACCAGTTTTTTCACAAAGGTTTCTTGAGGGACATTTTAAAGCCTTGACATTGGGTAACTGTTCTTTGCCATCTTTGTCAGTCTCTGGAATCTTAATTTAATTTGGTTAATAGGGAGGAGGGGGAGCAAGACGGGACCAACAAACATATCAAATTGAATGTGACAGGTTGAGACTGTCAATCAATCAAACACTGACGGAAAATATCGTCAATGGAACAATGGTTGTCAAAATCACCAATGCAATACACATAATAAGAAGTTAGAATAACTTAAACTTTTAAAAAATATAACAATTTAATGTATTAAAAGTTATTTTTCAAGGAATCAGCATCCAGAAGCTACTGTATTAGAGAACTACACATTCTTTATGTCGACACTTGTGTCATTATTTGAATTGGTACAATATGACATGACATCATAATCTTGTCATAATCTTTTCCTTTTAAAATTAAAAAGTATTAAGACAATTATCGGTTTAAAACTATTGGATTGGCTAAAATAATGCAGTGTCAATGATGAAAACAGTTCTCTTTTCTTAGCCATAAAAAGTTGATGCTTTGGAGATTCATGGTTTGTATGATAATTGGTAACTTAATCAATGTAAGGATGGAAAGAGTAAGTAGACTAACACAAATAAAGTAAAACATGGAAATGCAGATCTCAAAGCATCGCTGACAAAGATATAGCTAGTAACCCAAGCCTAGGGTCATTTAAGGTAATGCTTTACATATTCAACCTATATTAAACTACATTATAATTTAGTTCTACATCACGCATTGTTTTTAAAGGCGGTCGGTCGATTGGTCTTCAAGTGGCACATAATGTATAGGCAATGACATTTGCCCACTCTCAGCTCCCTGCAGAGAGTAGGAGGTAACCATGGTGATGTTGTTAGGTCATGATTAGGGTCATTAGTGTCCATGTCTGCATGACAGAAAAACCCACCCACCACCCACATAAACACTCATTATTATAATGCTTTACATAGCTAAATATAAACAGCCCAACACAACCAGACACATAGAAAAACACATTTAGGCATACACATTTTAAAGGAGATGATAGTGAATATGTCCATTGAATGTTCAAAGTAAAGTAAAATTAAACCCACCCCCACCACCATCCCCTCCCTAACACCTCCAAAAACAATTACTTCACATTAAAAGCTCTGCATTGCAACATGCCGTATAACAGCAGCTAAAACAGACAGAGCCCACAGAGATGGGCTTTGTTTGTATGCCAGGCCTCCACAATGGTCCTGTCATGAAAATATGCCCACACAAACATGCACTGTAGTCTCCAGCACAGTCCCCATGTTACACAGCTAGCATGGCGTTGTGCTCTCATTCACCCCGCCTGCCTTCACATTGACATTATATCATCACGCTGGCTGCTGTGAGTATGTTTCCATCCACATTTTGAACTGGTGACATGAAAGCATTTGCAAAAGATTATCACAAGATAAGATTATTTGAAGAGTGTCGAATTGAAGCTCATGTTACATTAATGTTACTATAAATGAATTGTGTCTGTCCACACACATTATGAGGAATCATTGACATTTCTGACAGTATATTGGGGTACTCTAGCATGAAGATAGACAGCAGTACTTTGCTGGTGCTTTGTCTTCATTGGCTTTCAAAATTCAGAAAGGAAAGCAGGAGCAGATTATTATACTGTGCAAGATTTATTTGGTTGTCTTTCACTTTATTGTTATGCACACATGCAAAATGGGCAATACAGAGTAAAGACAAGTACTTATTTTTGTTATCAGGAGAGTTGCAGTCTGTTAGTCTAGATGTATTATACCATCATCATGCTAGGACGAGGCCTGATCACACCATATTCATGCTTTATGTTTGTTGTTATGCACTAATCAATCAAAGTTGCCTGCAAATGTACTATTTTAGAGAAATGTAGTCTTAATGCAGAGGCAGAGTAGGGGGTTCATTGAGGAAAGCCTCTTTAGTTACAACCTTCTCTGCATTTTGTAATTGTTTCACTCCACCATTTTTTTAAATAGAAGTAGAAGGAAAAGTGAATTTAAAGCAAAACACAGAGGCAACTTTCAGTGAACGAGGTGGTGAGTGTTGAATAAGTGATGAGGACATTGCACTTTCATGGAAGAGAGTGAGGAAACCGCCCTCTGTGGTTGGAGAGAGACATGGAGATGGTACAGTGTAAAGCAGCTCAGCTCCCAGGACACCTGTCCTTTAGTGAGAGTCGGTTAGGAGACTACTGTAAATAAATCACACAATGAAATGGAAGAACAAAGCTGTACAAGGATCGTGTCCCATGCCCAAACACAACCACAAACACCGCCATGTACACAATGAGACGGAATAATCTGCTGACTCCTTTTGTTATTCCTCTGTCGCTTCCTATTTCTTCTCAGTTAATCATGTGCCACTCAAAGATCTAATTTCTGAACTACCTTGGACGCATAATAAATGCCAAGCCCCATAACTGTATCTTTAGTTTCATGGGTTATTTATTCCAATTAATGTTCAATAAAGTAACTGATATGTAAGTGTTATTTTTACGGAACTCGAAACTGAGCATTTAGTTTGAGTAAATGGAGAAACAGCTTGGCCAGTGCTATTTTTGACAGTAACTTCATGAAAAAGAAAGAGGAAATAATATACTAGGAACATAGATAATGAGTCTGGTATTCAATTAGCTTTAAATGTCATAGAATAATTCCAAGAAATAATGTTTTTTTTATTATAAACTTGCTGTAGTTTAATGAATGAAAATGTAAGCAGTATTACATTGTTAGCTTATCTGAAGGGAGCGAGTTTGGTCATTTCGTTTTGTAGATTCCATTTTTAAGTGCAAAATATGAACATGCACTTTAACTTAAAAACTGTTGCATGCTCACTTTCTTTCTTACAAATGTAAAGCAAATTGCAGATAAACCACCTAAATATGTTCTTGTTAACCCACAATGGTAAGCTTCTAAGATAAGAAAACAAATCATTACACACAAGGTAACGTCAAATATATTATAGAGACTCACACGGACCATTACATTTAAGCATTAGCATTTAATTGTGAGCACCTTTTCTATTGCTTGGACCTACAGCATGCCTGAGTATGTGTCCTCTTTGTGCTCACCTTTGCTTTTTTTTGTGACCGAGGGTTTCACTGTGTGTAAGTCTGAACCTCTGTAGAGGATGACATCATCGGGGTGCATAGGGCAGAGAGCTGCCATCATTTGTTGAGTTAATGTTTTCCAGCTGTGTAGCCTCAGTCTCTACAACCCTTCTGTTACTCTGCTTAACAACACTGACGGTGACAAAGTGGTGGTTATGTACGCTAGATTTGCAGAAGTGTGATGCGTGTGTGCATGAAGCATACGCATGTATGTTAACTATTTAGACGAACATAAGCTGTTTTACTGACTTCGATTAGCTCAGCCAACTAGGCCAAGGAGGAAACCACAGTCCATTAAACTCCTGCACACTGCCTTGTAAGCAGTTAGCTCTGCTTTAGTGAGGTTCCCTGTAGCGCTGCAGGCTGACTCACGGCAGCGCTGTTTGATGTGGTGCAGAGCTTCACGGAGTTTACTCGGGAAAACACTCTCCTGTTCCCATGGAGACCACAACAGGAAGGATGCTGTCACTCAAGAGGGCTGGGTTCTCAGTGACGGTTTGGCCCCCTGGCACTCACAGAGCAACACGAGGGGCACAGGGTCACCCTCTTTCTGGCTGCACCACCCCCTACTCTTAAACACAGCACGCACTCTTACAGGCTGCAGTCATCGAGAAAGTTTACTGACTCGAATAAAAAAGAGAAGGAAAAAGAACGGAGCAGAAGAAGAAAAATACACCCATGTCCGGACACTTTAAGGTCAAGTTAATCTAA